CTGAAAGTATCCCCATTTCTAAAATGGAGATAACTACACCTTGTGACGACAGGCAGAAGCAGGGCATCTGAATGCATTTTAAAGGTGCCGTTTAAATGTAGCTTCTGTTATTTCCAGGCCTGCTGGGCAGTGAGTAGGTATGTGGCTTTGCGGGTGACCTGTTCAGCCCATGTCTCAACTTCCCCAGTTGAAAGATATGCATAATTTTGTCATCTTAAGGTAATACGAAGGAGTGCAGGTGGTGACATTCCAGGCCAACCCAGGACATGTGATGGGGAAGGGGACCTGTTGCAAAGAGCAGGTGGTCCAGCCTGTCGAGCTAGAGAGAGGGGTTGGCAATGGGGAGGGTGCAGTGGGGCCACATGGTTGCACCCTCACAGCCCACTGCACAGCGGGCTGCAACAGGTGGTAGGGATTTGGGAGACCCTAGAGGAGGCTGTTGAAATTGTCTTGCTTGGGAAACGGTGCAGATGGGAGGGGGAAAGCAGGTGGCAAGCAGTGTGGCTGCTGGAGAACTGTGGTACTGACCAGGCTGAGTGGAAAGGTGGGTTCTGTTTGGGAGGACCTGGGTCCTAGTGGCCTGGGGTGTGCTGTCTGCGGCTGCTGTGGGGCAAAGGGAGTGTGGGGAGGCCCTTTAGGCGCCACGGGACTCCGTGCTGTCACAGAGCTCTTGCTGTGTGTGAGGCCTAGAACCAGGCTTGGGCATGGGAAAACCCCACATGGTTCTTGCTTTCAAAGAGCTCACTGTTGGCTGGGTGCAGTGGTTCACACCTGTAATCTCAGCAGTTTGGGCGGCCAAGGCGGGTGGATCACAAGGTCAGGAGTTCAAGACCTGCCTGGCCAAGATGATGAAACCCCATCAGTACTAAAAATACAAAAATTAGCTGGGCATGATGGTGGGCACCCAGTAGGCTGAGGCAGGAGAATCATTTGAACCCGGGAGCTGGCGGTTGCAGTGAGCTGAAATCACACCACTGCACTCCAGCATGGGCAGAAGAGCAAGACTCCATCTCAAAAACAACAAAGGAAACACCATCAGGGATCATGCTGTTGTAACCGCTTCCCTCCAGGCTGGTCAATGGTGCTCCCTATCGTGCAGACTATGCTCAGCCGCTGTGGTTTCAGCAGTATTCACAGACAGACCTGGTTTTGGCCTTCCGCTTTTCGCTGGGCGTCTTGCACCTGGAGAAGCCCCCCATGCCCACCTGGTTTTGTTTACATCGTCTTCTCTTTCCATCTCTTGCCTTTCTGTCATTTTTCTTGTTGCTTCTCTGTCTTCCCCTTCAATCATTACCTTCTGTTTTCATCTGAATTTCTCTGAGCTGAGTGTGGTCCTGCCCAGGTGGTCATCCGTGTATTGTGCTGGGTGCCTCTGCTCCCACTTTCTGTTTTCATTTTGCTTGACCTGGAGTCAGTGACCGAGCTACAGATCAAGCAGTGAAGCAGTTTCTGCATCTGAAATTTTAGGGATGAACCAGAGGCCACTTCAATTTCTGCTCTGAAGTCGTGGTTCTTTTTTTAAAAGCATTCCAAGTTTAGGCTGCATGTGGTGGACCATGCCTGTAATCCTAGCACTTTGGGAGGCTGAGGTGGATTGTCTGCACTCAGGAGTTCGAGACCAACCTGAGTAACATGGTGAAACCCCGTCTCTACTAAAGTACAAAAAATTAGCTAGGCATGGTGGTGTGCGCCTGTAATCCCAGCTACTTGAGAGGCTGACGTGCCAGAATTGCTTGAACCCCAGAGGCAAAGGGTGCACTGAGCCAAGATTGCACCACTGCACTCCAGCCTGGGTGCAGAGCAGGACTGCCTATCCAACACCACCAAAATGGAATAAAATAAAAAGTCTAGGATAATGGGCACCAAATATTAGAAAAGGTTACTGGTGGTGATTGGCTTTCTTTTCTGTTTTTTGGGTTTTAATAATCTGTTTTGTTTCACAAAGACAAGGTCTCCCTGTGTTGCTCAGGCTGGTCTTGAACTCATGAACTTAGGCAGTCTTCCTGCCTCAGCTACCCAGGTGTGTGCCACCAGGCCGGGGAATCTGCTTTTATTTTACTTTATTTTATTTTTTTAAGACAGTCTCTTGCTCTGTTGCCTAGGCTGGAGTGCAGTGGCTCAATCTTGGCTCACTGTAACCTCTGCCTCCCAGGTTCAAGTGATTCTTTTGTCTCAGCCTCCTGAGTATCTGGGATTATAGGCGTGTGCCACCATGCCTGGCTAATTTTGAATATTTAGTAGAGATGGGGTTTCACCTTGTTGGCCAGGCTGATCTCAAATTCCTGATCTCAAGTGATCCTCCCGCCTGGGCCTCCCAATGTAGCTGGGATTACAGGCGCCCACCACCCGACTAATTTTTGTATTTTTAGTAGAAATGGGGTATTACCATGTTGGCCAGGCTGGTTTTGAACTCCCAACCTCAGGTCTGCCTTCTTTTCTGAATGTCGATCTTGCTCTGCTTTTCTCTACTGAGGATGTGTCATTTCTAAAACAACAGCAGGAAGGGGAAGCCCCTTGCACCAGCCTCGGGCTTCTAGGAGGTGGCCTGCTCCGCTGAGGAGTAGGTGCCGCCTCGCCAGCCTCGCCAGCCTCGCCAGCGCCGCCTCCACTGTTGTGCCTTCTTTCTTGTCTCAGGTGAGCTCTTGCCTCTCCACCTCTGAGAGCGCGTCCAGCTCAGACACTTCATTCTGTTAGCCTTTACTGTTGCATTCTCTTTGTCTTGGATCACCAGTGTTGTCATCCAGTAAAATCTCACAAAATTTAGCAAGACATCTGGATTATAGAATTTTAGGAAATTTATGTCTGTTACTTTTTCAAGTACATGTAATGCCAGCATGGGCTAGCAAAAATAAGCCTGATGTGTAACGGCAGGGCTGGTTAGCAAGTTGTGGTCTTGGAAGAAGAGAGTTTAGTGAGTGTTTGTTAGGGACCTGTAGATGGCTCTGAAAGCCTTTGTTGTGGGTGGTGCAGAGGTAGACAGGCGGTCCTTCCTGAAGTGACTCCACGTGAGGAATACAGGCTCCTAGGATTTAAGTTATGTTTCAAACGGCATCTGTAACCTGCCCTTCAACTTGGGAAGCACCAGGCTCATTAGGTCCTGGTTTGGTGAGGAATGGACAGGGCCAGATAACATGTGAGGTATTTCATGTGTAGCACAGAGCATACCTGGGTTTTGTTTCTTTTGTCTCTGCAGGATGGGAATGGAGCAGCTGGAGAGCAGCGTGGGTGGGACACACTTTTGACTCCTTGGCAGTGTGTTCTCGACTGTGAATGCTGGACATTCAGGTGCAGCACTGTCTGGCTGCTCTCTCTGCAATGACAGCCGCTTGTGGCCATTGACTACCAGAAATGGGGCTGGTGGGACTGAGAGGCTGTTTTTTCATTAAAATTTTTTTTTTTTTAAAGCGTGAATCTCTGTTGCCCAGACTGGTATGCAATGAATGGTGTGATTTCGCGTCGCTGCAACCTCTGCCTCCAAATTTGGAGGCAGACCCCCCCTGGGGGAGGTGCTGAGCTCCCAGCCTGCATGTGGCCACCCAGGCAGGGCCCTCTTCTTGGTCAACCAAGTAGTGGATCTGGATGGAAAAGCCTGTGATTGTCTCATTAGGAAAGCATCTTAACAGTAATCTACATCTGCTTGGATTTTGCTTTCTTTCTTTTTCTTGGGCGGGGGGCGGGGAGACATTCCGGCTGGAGCATAGTGGTGTGATCTCGGCTCACTGCAACCTCCACTACCTGGGTTCAAGCAATTTTCCTGCCTCTGCCTCCTGAGTTGCTAGGACTACAGGCGTGTGTCACCACACCCAGCTACTTTTTTTTGTATTTTTAGTAGAGAGGCCCAGGATGGTCTCACTCTCTTGACCTCATGATCCGCCTGCCTCAGCCTCCCAAAGTGCTGGGACTACAGGCATGAGCCACCGTGCCCCACCCCACCCCCGGTGTAATTTTTATATCTTTAGTAGAGATTTCATCATGTTGGGCAGGCTGGTCTATTAACTTTTGGCCTCAAGTGATCTCTGCCCGCCTTGACCTCCCAAAGTGCTGGGATTACAGGAGTGAGCTACCATGTCCAGCCAGCTTTTGCTTTTTAAAGCATTTTTGTTCAGAGTTTGAAGATGTCCCAGCATTTTATGGTCCTAGTTTCATAAAAAGAGAACCCTGGTTATCACAGGGATATGCTGACAGTTCCCGCTCCCCCTGCGAGGAGGAACTGAGGACTGGGTTAGGCCATAAAAAGTCTTATATGTGGTCTTTGACTCCTGCCACGCCACTGCCTCATCTCGGAGAAGCCTGGGGTTCTCGTCCACAGCTGAGGAGGGAAGCCGCCTCAGGTCTTCTTGGGCTTTTCCCTCCTAGCCTGGTCTCAGAGGACTCAGCTTGAGCTCAGGAACTGATGCTGTGATAGGATTTGCAAGGTTATCAGGCTGTTCTCAGGACACCACATTTTGTTGGTGGACATTGAGGATAAGGAGTTTTAAGACTAAAGATGCTTAGGCATTAAATGGTTCAAATTCTGAAGTATTGATTTTATCTAAAAGAAGGTAGTATCTTACACACATTGGAATGTTTTCTTGAGGTTGAATCTCAACCTAATTATTTGAAAAGATGGTAAGAATATTTCAGCCATCTTTGCTCATTTGCAAAAGCAACACGTGTGAAATGTGATGTGCGGCTTCAGTTTGCAGAGGGAAGGGATCTGTCTGCATTGTGGACAGTAGGTCTGAGGCTGCGGCATTGTTGTGCTGTTACACGGTTCCACATCAACTCTTGCTCCTTTTCTCATTGTAAAAACATTCGAGAGTCATTTGGCCGGGTAAGCACCCTGGCAGTCCTGAGCAGCCTCACTGGCACTGGTCTTGGGTGCTGCCTGCCAGCGTCCTTGGTTGAGGATTGTGGAATGGGACCTCGGGGCAGTGGGCCCTTCCCTCCCTCAGGCCCTCTGCTCTGCCCGGCCCACCAGCTTTCTGGAACAGATCACTGTACAGTGCTTTCTCTCCAAGGAGCCGAAGGTGGAGGATCATCATCTGGAAATGTGTCTGGGGTTGCCTCTGCTGCCCCTGCAGGGGCCTCGCGCTCCTCCTCCCGGAACTTAGGGTCTTCTGGTGGTGAGAAAGAAGAAGGCAAAAAGGTCCGGCGGCAGTGGGAGTCGTGGAGCACCGAGGACAAGAACACCTTCTTCGAGGGGCTGTACGAGGTGAGTGGGCCGTGGAGGCATCCCTCCTGGAGCCCTGCCCTCCACTCCCTGTGCTTGCCCTCTGCGGTTAGATTCTGGAATGCAGGTTCCTGGGGACCCCACAGTGGCTGAGGTGGGTGTGGGCCCCAAGCCTTGCCCACTGACGTTGGATGTTTATCTCCTCATTGAAATGTTAGAAGCTATTACTGGTGAGGTGACTGTGAGGAGGGGTTTTTGTGTGTTTCTTTTATTTCCTTTCAGAAATTCTCACCCCTTGTCTCTCAAAGATGTTCTTGACTGAGGGCCTTCCATTTGTGCTGAGTGAGCTGATTCAGGAGGGATGGCCTCTGAGGGGAGGCACAAGGGGGTACTTGCCTTAGGGGCTGGCATGGCTGAGAAACCTAATAAGATGTTACGCTGACTTGGGACAAAACAGAAAGTTCTAAAGAAGCCACTGCCCAGTGAATGGCCGTGCTCCCTGTGGGCCAGGGGCACCTGCATGTTTTATTTCCTCATCCCCGTAATTATCGTGAGCATACTTTTTAACGCTGATTGCGCTTTTCACAGTGTTTGATAGGTCTTTTGCTCTGTATTTCTTTTAACGCTGTAAATATTCTCCTTGCCTGTGTGCTCACTGTGTGCTTTTGTAAAAACACCATATTGGAGCACAGCCATGGCCAGAGTGGATGTACTGTCTGCGGCTGATCCCACTGCAGTGGCACAATTGAAGAGCTACACCAGACAGGGTGCCCTCGAGGCCCCAGCCAGCCACTTCTCCGCTTGGCCATTCCTGTGTGGTTAAGGACGACGGGTCCTTCCAGATTCTGTTGTTGTAAGTAACGCTGTGATGAACATCTGTGTGCGCATTTCGTATTTTAAACTACTTTGGCATACAGTATTAGAGGTAGGTTTGTGATCAGTGAGCCTGGGTCTTTTTTTTTGTAGATGAGTCTCACTTTGTCGCCCAGGTTGGAGTGCAGTGGTGCGATCTCGGCTCGCTGCAACCTCTGCCTCCCGGGTTCAAGCAATTCTCCTGCCTCAGCGTTCTGAGTAGCTGGGATGACAGGCACCCACCACCACACCCAGCTAAATTTTTGTATTTTAGTAGAGACGGGATTTCACTGTGTTGCCCAGGCTGGTCTCGAACTCCTGAGGTCAGGCAGTCTGCCCGCCTCTGCCTCCCACGAGCCTTGTTCTTTTAACAGCGAATTAATTGGGGTGATGGAGAAGTCCCGCCAAGCCTGGTAAGCAGAATGCTCAAGAAAGGAATGGAGCCGCTGGAGTTTAAAGCACGAGGTGTTAGACATTAGAAAAGGAGACACTTCTGAACGTGGGCGCGAGACTTGACTGCAGCGCCCCACGGCCGGGGCTGCTCCTGCCCGGGCTTCAGGTTAGGTTTTGCCCAACCCAGGCAGACGGCCTGCCTTGTTAGTGTGGCTTGACTCTGACTGTCCAAAGAGCAATGTGCATGAGTCCCGTTTCAGTAGACGTGAAGTCAGTTAGACACAGTCATGTGTCCTTTCTTCCCTTCGAAGGTTCTCGAGTACAGCAAGGAGGCTGTTTCTGTCAGATTCCAGCCCCAAACCGTGCCTTTAAGCTGTTTGTTGGGCTTGGAGGACCTGCGATTCCAGAATGTTTTCAGAATCAGCAACCATTGCTGATCCTTGCCTGAAACAGTTACTTCTGTGGTGTGGCCCTTCCTCCTGTTGAGACTGTAGCCTCTGTAGGAGGGTCTGGCTACCCGGGAGAAGCAGACGTCGTTGTCCATTAAAAGCAGAGCAGGAGGTCCTGGTTAATGACCCACCCTTTTGCTTTACTCAGTTTATCTTGTTTCCTTCTCATTGGGTTAGGTTGCCCTTTGGAGTTTTTCTGCCAGGCAGATGCTTCTTTTGAGGGGTTCTGGAATGCTGAATTAGTAATAATAATTAATAATAGGCTGTTTTGACCATGTAATGCTTTCTGTTATGGGTTTTCTGTATCTGAGTATGTTTATGAGAGAGAGCGAGGGCAAGAGAGAGGACATGGTTTTATTCTGTTTTTGTTTTGAAACAGAGTTTCACTCTTCTCACCCAGGCTAGAGTGCAGTGGCACGATCTCGGCTAACTACAACCGTGATTCTTCTGCCTCAGCCTCCCCAGTAGCTGGGATTACAGGTTCCTGCCACCACACCCAGCTAATGTTTGTATTTTTAGTAGAGACCAGGTTTCACCAAGTGGGTCAGGCTGGTCTCGAACTCCTGACCTCAGGTGATCCATCTGCTTCAGCCTCCCAAAGTGCTGGGATGACAGGGGTGAGCCATGACACCGGGCCAAACGCGTTTTATTTCTGCATTGTGTGTCTCACCAAATCTAGGTGGGCCTCTGGTGGGGTCTTGATGTATGACCGACTGGCCAGTGGCAGTGTGACCGTGACCCCTCGAGTTGTGGGTGACAGTGGCTGGGCACAGGCCTCTGAGGAGCGAGGCTCCCCCCTCGTTGTCATGGCCACCGCTGCCTTTTTGGTGCCTCCCTGGGAAGGACGCAGCAAGGCTGGTTGGGGCCCAACTGGATGCAGGATCCCTCTGCCGTCACTGGGCCTCAGCTGGTCACCCTTGATCATGGTGATCAAGCAGGAGAACTCTCTCCTGCTTCAGCTGCTCTCCAGGCAAGAGTGCTACCCCTGCCCACCCTAATTTGGGCAGTGCTGGGCACGCTCGGACTGACCCCTGTCCAGTTATGGCATGTCTAGACTTCTCCCTGTAGCCAGGGAGGGTGTTCACCTGTGGCAGGGCACTTCCTCCCTCCTCTCAGTACCCTCCCATTTCAGCAGCAGGTCTGCACAGACCCATCCCTGACTTCTTTCATCTTCCCATTCCTGCTTATATCCGTCCACCGTCCATGCTTGTTTCTTCTATACAGTTCTTGATTTCCCACACGACAGCCACACAGCCAGCACCCTGTGCTTCCTGCTCACTGTCTGCAGAACGGCTGCAGCTTTGGCTCTGGTCTCTGTGCTCCGTGGTGCTCCCCTTTTCTGTCCCCACCTGTGCCTTCCCCATCTCTGTGCAGGCAGCCGGGGGCGTCCTTGGCCTGTTAGCATCTCCGTGGCTCTGTGGATACTGCAGATTTCTGTCCCTGCACCCCAGACAGCTTTCCGATACTTTGAGTCCTGCCTGTCTTGTTGTCGTTGCTGTCAGCATCGATATGTCTGGTTCCTGACCCAGGACAGAGCACTCTCGCCACACTGGGAATACGGAAAAGCTTCTGCCCAGTGGGGCTTGCAGCCTTGGAGACACATGGCGAGTGCAACACAGATGCCCCAGGTCTTTAGGAGGCAGCAGAGGCTAAGAACATGTGAGCAGGAGGCCTGGAACCTGGGTTCTCAGGGAACCTCTGAGCAGACGGCGCAGCAGTGACATGCAGAGGCTATCAGTTTGCTTCGTCAAGGTTCTCACTGAGGCCCAGGGAACGTGGGGAGGGCTGGGCCTGCCTGGACCCTGGAGGAAGGTAGTTCACACTCTCCTTCACCTCTTTATGCTTTACTTGCCATTCCTTTTGAAAAACAATGAACTAGCTTTACTTTTTCTAAAGGTTTTGATTTTTCATTTTATTTGTGCACCAGGGCCAGCCCTTCACCCTCCAGCCCACAGCAACTTCTCTCTTCACCTCCCTCAGCCCCTGTGTTGCTGGGAGTCACAGACCCTCAAATGTGTAAATGTGTTCACCGCAATGCCACCTCTCCGCCACCCAGCTCACCTCACAGTCCCACAGCTGCCAAGAGGCCTCTGAGGTAGACAGGGTTGGGGGCCAGCACCCCAACAGTCCCCAGGTTTCAATTTCCTTGAGGTCCCTAGTTACTACCCCTTGGCCCCCATCGTCATGTTTTTTTATATTTTTAATTTAAAAGACATCGCTTTTTTTTAGTCAGTCTTGCTTTGTCACCCAGGCTGGAGTACAGGAGTGCCATCTTAGCTCACTACAACCTTGACCTCCCGGGCTCCAGTGATGATCCTCCTGCCTCAGCCTTTTAAGCAGCCAGGAGTACAGACGTGTTGCACCATGCCTGACTCATTTTTAGGTTTTTTTGTGGAGATAGGGTCTCGCTATGTTGCCCAAACTGGTCTCAAACTCCTGGGCTCAAGCAATTCTCCTGCCTTGGCCTCCCAAAGTGTTGGGATTACAGGCGTGAGCCACCACTTGGCGCCCTTAACTTTTCATTTGGAAACATTTCAGACCTTTAAAGAGTTGCACAAAGCAGGTCCCCTCCAGCCACGCTGTGAGGATTTGAGCACAGACACCGCCCTGCCTGCTCATCTGCAGGTGGGATTCAGATTACCGGGGCTCCCACTCATGTCCAGACTGGTCAGGATGCTGCACGCACTCAGCTGCCCTAACTCCTCGGTCTCACGTAACCTGGGACAGCTTCTGGGTTTTCGTTTGTTTCCATGGTTTTTGTCTTTGATGATCTCGATACTTGTGGAGACTCACAGCCTGTTGGTTGCTCGAGTGTCCCTTGTGTCAGTTAGGATTGCTCTGCAGCTTCCTCATGATTCTGTCTTGTTACGCATTTCCGTCAAGAATTCCACAACAGCGATACCACGTCCTCCTCGGCACATCCGGTGGCCGGCCCGAGGTGGTCTCTCCGCCTCCGTCCTGGTGGTGGTTTGCCTTGCTTGCTGCACTCAGGTGGCCTCCCCCAGGTCGCAGCACGGTGGGTCATGGCTTGCCTTTGAAGCTATGTGAATGCCATGTTTTCATCATTCTTGCTCCCACCGGTTTTAGCACCGTTGCTGTCTCCCCTGGAGCACTTGTCACCGTGCTGTTTGCTCACCACGAGGACCTTCGGTCTCCGGCATTCTTTCTACGTTTGCGGATTGGGAGTCCTGTGCCGAGAAGAGTGTGCCTGCTCCCCACATGTGTAGTTCTTCTATTACTTACACTCATGTAGACTTGGGGATGTCGGGTTTATTCTGGGGATCATAATCCATCATGCCATTGTTGGCTGGCCCTATTAGTTTTCCATTTGGCCACTGGGAGTCTCAGGCTGGCCCCTGCATCCTCTCCGCATGTCCCTGTTGCCCGTCAGCGTGTTTTCATTTGCTGGTGCCACCAGGCCTTCCAGACACAGTGGCTGCTCACAGCTTTGCAGTCAGCTCCTTTTCCTGGAGCCCTGCTTCCCTTTGCAAAGTGATATTTAGAGACCAGGACCTTGGTGCTAGGAGTGCTTGTCACTGCTGAGCCTTTCCAGTACCTCAGGAGCTTGACTTTGAGGAGGCGACCAAATGCTCGGTTCTCTGCAGCAGTGGCTGAAACAGCACTGAGGTGACGCTGTTCTCTGGAACACAAGTTCTCTTCTGAATCTAAGGCACGCTCAGCTTTTGCACAGAAGCTTCAAAGAAGGGTTGGCCTCCAGGTGTAATCAGTATGTTCTGTGTGGTTCGCTTACTAAATGTTCACGTTTGCTGTCCTTGTTTGAATGCGCACTCTGTGTTTAGGACTGAAGCAGTGAGGGTGTTTCTGGCCTGTTCTTCAGGACGCCGCAACTGCTGCATGGCTTCTCTTGTCTTCCAGAGCCTTTCTTCATGGAGGTGTCTCATTCCATGGTCTCTGAAGAACTCTAGCCATTAAGCCATTTGTCCAAGTGCTGAGCCTGATGCTTCTCCTGTCTGGGGTACTTGCCTCTTTGGTATCCGTGTGCTCTGATTGTTCCACAACTGGTTTCATTGCTCCTTTATCCTGATTAAAACCTAAGGTTCCAGGGAATCAAAGTTGAAATTCATACACGGAGAAGAGCTGGGAAGGGCAGCTTGCTTGTTTGTGGCCTGCCTCTTTTCTCCTTTCTGCGAGCCTTGGAAAGGGTCCACCTCGCACAGAAAGCTGCATTCTTTTAACCCCTGAACTTTTGTCATGGAATTATTTTCCAGCATGGGAAGGACTTTGAAGCGATTCAGAACAACATTGCCCTGAAGTACAAGAAGAAAGGCAAGCCAGCGAGCATGGTGAAGAACAAGGAGCAGGTCCGCCACTTCTACTACCGCACCTGGCACAAGATCACCAAGTACATCGACTTTGACCATGGTGAGTGCCCCACGGCCAGGCTCGGGGGTGCGCACGGGCAAGGCCGGCTTTTGCTCGGAGCACAGCTTCCAGGAAGCCCGCCGGGCCTGCTCTCTGGCATTTTCCCACCAGCTGCTGGGCTCCTTGCCTTGTGGCGTTTGGCTGATCGTGTGCCGTCTAATTCGGTCAAACCAAATTGCCAGAAAGCAGCCCACATCCCAGGCTCCGAGGTTCTTTCCACTGCTTTTCTGAGCTGTGGCTTGTGTGTTTCTAGTGACTCTGAGTGCGCATGGGTTCTCGGTCCCTCACTCACCTAGAGCCTGTGGTCTCCACTGCAAATGATGGCACTGTGGTCTAGCAAGGGGCTTGGGCTGTAGGCACCGTGCCTGGCTCTGGTCTTCCTGGGGGATGGCCAGCCTTCTCAGGTTTTTTTCTGTCTATACTGGGACCTGGGTCTGTGCAGGCCCTTTTTCATTCACGGGACCAAGTCATCCCCAGGTATGATTCTGGCTCTGACTCAGAGCACCCTTTGGCTGCTGATGGCTTCTCCAAGCGATGCTTTGTCCATCACCATCTCTGCCTTCAGGAGGCTCAGCCACCTCCTGCCTGTGCCTGTCGGAACCACCTCTCCAGCAGCGTCCCTGTGCTGGGCCCTGCTCTTCCTGCAGCTTCATGCACAGCATGATCCTTCCAGATGCACTCTCGGGGCTCCCCGCTGCCTTCTGACCCTTCTTTCAGACGTCTTGTGTTCCGACACAGGGTACCTGGACTGTGGCTATGCCGCCACTCCCTGTGCCCTTGCCTGTGCCTCGTGGTGACCTAAAGTCCCTCGCCTTGGCCGTTCCCTGTTGTGTCCTCTGGGCAGATTATGGTATTTTGACCGTGGTGCATTGGCATTGCCCAGAGCTTTGAGAAGAGCCAGTACCCAGCTCCCCTGTCTGACTGGGGCAGATCCCTGAGGGCTGCAGATAGCCCCTGCCCACTGCACAACTTCACTGAAGAACCTCTGCTGGGAGTTGTCGCTGTTTCTGGAGATCCATGGAAACAGCTGTTGGTCTCTGCAGGTTAGGGGCGCCCCTTGATTCGGGTTTGCTGCCCGTGCGGCTTTGATTGTTTAGGTTAGGGCGCCCCTTGATTTGGGTTTGCTGCCCGTGCGGCTTTGATTGTTTAGGTTAGGGCGCCCCTTGATTCGGGTTTGCTGCCAGTACGGGTTTGCTGCCAGTGCAGCTTTGCTTGTTTGCTTTAGGTATCTATGTGACCATTAACATAAGAGTTTCTGCTGACCTCACTTGTTCATGGCGCGTTCCCTCCGTTTCGTCCTGTTTTCTACCTGCGCTGGTCTTCCCATGTCCAGCTCACTTGTTCATGGCGCGTTCCCTCCGTTTCGTCCTGTTTTCTACCTGCGCTGGTCTTCCCACGTCCAGCTCACTTGTTCATGGCGCGTTGCCTCCGTTTCGTCTTGTTTTCTACCTGCGCTGGTCTTCCCATGTCCAGCTCACTTGCTTATTTGGAATCTCAGCACTGATCGGATTCCGTCACCCAAGGCTGTTGTGATTAATGTCAGGTTGTGGTGAGTGCCTCGGCCTTCCACAGTGGCACGCAGCACTGAGTTTTCAGTGTCGGCCTCTTTTGGTGTGAACTGTCCTTTGCGCTCTTCGTTACTACCTTTGTGAAAGTCAGCCCGTGAGAGCGGATCCACGATCCACAATGGCTGGTCCTGAAAACTCTGGTCTTGAAAAGCGAGGAAGCTGGCCAGCAGTGGAGGGGACTGGGCGGCTGTTTGGTAGATAAAGTATAGAGAGAGGGATGGGACTCCAGGAGATTCAGTCCGGAGTGCTTTGCGTGAACCACCTGCGGGCAGCGTGGGCAGCGTCTTCGGACCTTCAGGCTCGTGGCACAGACTCATCTGTTCTGAGGTTCAAGTGCACGTTCTGCCTGCCACCTGGACTCTCTCCCATGTCAGTTTCAGAAGGCAGTCAAAGCAAACATTTCTTGCCTATTCTTGTTACCTTTCCCTGTTGTACACTCCGAATCCTAAACTTCCCTGGCGTGTGGAGGCGTCATTCCTCTTTGGCCCTTCTCTCCGTCTAGGGTGAAGGGATTTTAAATGCTCCCTCACACCTCTGTGGGGGTCATACCCAACACGGGTCCTTTCCCCTTCTCCATGTGGATCCCTGTGCTTCCCTCACACGCTGTTTCCCCCTCTTCCTGATCTGGCACAGCAGGCTCCTGCAGCCTTGGTGTTTCCTGTTCGTGCATCTTGGCATGACCCCGCATGACCTGCCTTCTTCCTGTTGAGCTCACTGTTCCGCCAGGTTCTCTGATGGCCCTGATCATGTCTCCAGCAGGGCCGCCTGCCTCTATACCAGTGTGCAGTGGCATTGGGGCATCTGATGCTGTCTTGCCCAACAGGAGCCTGAGGCTGGAGGCCACCAGAACCCTGTGAAGTGACTGGCCCCATGGGCTGTCATTGCGCATCAAATAACCTTTCATGTTACATGTATTTTTTAGCATGCTTTAGAGTTTTACACTGTATTTTGAGACAGAGTCTGGCTCTGTCACCCAGGTTGCAGTACAGTGGCGTGATCTCAGCTCACTGCAACCTCCACCTCATGAATTCAAGCTATTCTCATGCCTTAGCCTCCCAAGTAGCTGGGATTACAGGCATATACCACCACACCTGGCTAATTTTATATTTTTTAGTAGAGACAGGATTTCACCATGTTGCCACGCTGGTCTCAAACTCCTAAGCTCAGGCAGTCCACCTGCCTTGGCCTCCCAAAGTGCTAGGATCACAGGCATGAGCCACCGCACCCAGCTTGTGCTTTGGATTTTTGAAGAGTGCACCGTGTGCACTTTATTGTGGGTTTGTCTGACTCATCGAGTGGAATAAGACACAGAGCGGTGGCAAATGAGGAGCGAGAACGGGGCTCACTCCACTTCGGTTCAGGAGCCACCACCTCGAGTCTGTGTTCGTCTTGTTAATCTCCTGTGGTTTCCATGCACATCCACATCTCCCTGCTGGTGTCCATTGGTAGACGAGGTATAGAGAGAGGGATGGGACTCCAGGAGATTCAGTTCAGAGTGCAGAGATTTTGTTTCACAAACTTAGTGAGTTTGGATGAGGTGAGTGTGTGGTTCCTGTCCCTGAGTGTGGAACAAAACATGAGGTGCCACCTAGGAGGCCGTGGGGTCAGGCAGGGCACCAGGGACACCTCCTGGGTCCCCTGCTTTGTCCCGGGGTCCCACCTGCCTGGGGGCCCCTTGCCTGCACTATCTGGCTCCTGATGCTACTTTCTTCTCTCTTTCTGGGTTGTGGGTTTTTTTATTTTTGCCATTTCAAATAGTGGACTTTTAAAAATATATTTTAGAAATTGGGATATTATTGACCCTTTTAAAGTGTACAACTTAGTGGTTCTTAATGTAAAGTTATGCAGCCATGGTCTCTCTGTAGTCGCAGAATGTGTCCATTGTACCATAAGGAAACCCTTTGCTGGACGCTGTCAGTTTACTTCCTGTTTCTGTGGATGTTTCTACTCCGGACTTTTCATAGAAATGGGATCACGTGCTACGTGTCCTTCTGTGCCTGGCTCCCTTCACTCAGCATAGGGTTTCAGGGTTTGTCTGTGTTGCAGCGTGTACCGGTCCTTTTTATGGCTGGACAGTCTTCCGTTGGGTGCATGGCTGCATTTTGCTTGTCTACTGAATGGTGGATCTTAAAGCTTCTCAAGTCACGGGCTCCTTAAAGAAGGTCTGATGAGGCCGGTGCGGCGGCTCATACTTGGAGTCCTTTTCCTGCCCGGCCCCAGGCTGTACAGATCTGTCCCAGGAGGGCACAGGTGACTCAGGAAGGCAGCATCCTGGGTTGCAGGGCTGCTGGCCTCACCTGTGTGCAGAGATGGATGACAGGTTTAGTGCCGGTCACATCCACCGCCTCCACAAGAACCAGCTGTCTGGAGTGTTCTGTTTTCTCCTCCAGGGGATGTTTCTTCGGCCTATTAGGAGTAAATTTCTAACTCTCCACTGTGGTTTGTTTAACTTTCTATTTTGAAAATTGCAAACACAGCACTGTGTTCTCTACGCTCTGCCCAGTGTCCCCTGTGGTTGACTAAGGTACAGGGAGCAGATATAAGAAATTGCGTGAGCCCGGCGTGGCTCCCAGCTCTGAGCCGCTCAGCACCTCCCTGCATTCCCTTCTCTAAAGCTGCCTTTTCTTCCTGTCTCTCAGTGTTCTCTCGAGGCCTGAAGAAGTCTTCCCAGGAGCTGTACGGCCTGATCTGCTACGGCGAGCTGCGCAAGAAGATTGGGGGCTGTGAGTATGCCACCTGGGGGGTTGCCCGCAGCTCCTCCCATCCTTGTCACCTTTGGACTTTAGTGCCCAGAGTTGCTTCTGTTTTCCCTCTGACTTTTGTCCTGAAAAAATGTTAATAATAGAAGAGGTGAAGAGTATGACGGCTACCATGCTCTTTGGCTTAGATGGACCTCTTGCTGACATTAGCCACGTTTGCTGTCTTTCTCCACGCTCATGTGCTTGCATGCACACACGTGTTCACATGTTCTGCACTCCACTCAACTGTAAGATGTCGTGCAAGCCTGGAATACCTCTGCCGGCATCACCTCAGAGCATGTTCTCCTGCACAGCCTTGATGCCCTGGTCATACCAAGACTTTTAGCATTTACGATACAGATGCAGTAATCTTCCCTAATTCCTAGCCCATATTCAGATTTCCTAAAACATCCCAAAGTATCAGTCAGGTCTTCTGTCCACGGCCATTGCCTTGCATGTAGCAGTCTTCCTTGGGGGTCTTTGACCTAGAGTGGCCGTACTGCATGGGCATCTGAGACATTGCATTGGGACGCACCCAGGCTGTCCTCACACAGAACCTCACTTGGATTTGCTCCGATTGTCTTCTTGGGACCAGATAGCCTTTAGACGTTTTTGACACGTCCTCTAGGTAGGGACAGTGTTGTCTTATCAGGCACTTGTGCCCAGCGCCCCTCAGTCTTGCCTCTTCTGCCTGACTCCAGAAGAGAGAGCACACTTGGGCTGTCCAGTGGGCACTCTAGGGGTGCACACCCACGGAGCTGCTTCACAGGTTCAGTGGGATACTGCCTGACTGCATCAGCTAGCGTATCATAACTCAGGGCGGGTGGTGGGGCTGACACGACAGACACAGAGCAGTCGCTCTGTGTGTGCCCCGCCTATACTGTACTCTGCCCCCTTGTTGCCTCTCCAGGCCTTGCTGTGTCCTGTGGGGTGGCTGCTGCGAGCAAGGGTGGCATTTGTGTGTGGGAGGCCCTGCCCTCCTGCACTTCCCCACTGGGTCTGTCCCCTCTGTGCCCAGCCACATCTTCTCCTCCCTCCTCTAGCCTACCTGTCCCAGCCCTCAGCTCCAGCACCCACATCTGTGGCCCTCGTGTTCCAGCTTCTCATGCCCATTCCTGCTGCCTCTCATCTGCTCTCTCTCAGTCTCGGGAAGCATCCCAGGCCCCAAGGAGTTTACGCCACAGCTCTCCCAGCTCTCATCTTCCCCAAGGAAAGAAAACCCTGCCTTGACCGTGTGTTCCCACTGAGTGTTGCCTGGTCCTTCTGCCCACTACCTGTTCCTCGTTCCCTCCATAGAAGCTTCTAGGAGGTGGAGGGTGTCCAGGTTCTTGGCATTTTGAACAAAGAATTGACAAAATGCACAAAGCAAAGAAGGAATGAAGCAACAAAAGGAGAGATTTATTGAAAAAAACTGAAGTACACTCCATGGGGTGGGAATGGGCCCAGGCATAGGGGCTCAAGAGCCCTTTTACGGAAGTTCCTGGAGTTTAAATACCCTCTAGAGGTTTCCCATTGGCTATTTGGCGTATACTCCATGTAAATGAAGCGGTGGCCCTTGATCAGCAGCCGAAGTGAAGTACAAACATTATGCCCTATGCAAACATCTGGCTGTGGAAAGCAACCAATGAGAAGATAAAGTGGTTACAAAGTTACAGTTCTATGCAAAGGAAGAACTGGCCCCCGTCATCTGATTGGTTGCTTACAAAGTTACACTCCTATGTAAATGATTGGTTGCTTTCTGCTTGCGGCAACCAACCAGAGATAACTTTCAATTTTCCATCTGCCACATAGAAACAAAGGGTGGGGGGTGCAAAAAGGAGGAGCTTCTGGTCCTTTTGTTACTTAGGTGTGGAAAGTTGGGGTTTTCCTTTTGAGTTAGTTCTAGGAAGTCACATGAATCGGCCTTAGGTTCCCTGCCTCCAGACTCCATTCTCCTGCCTCACAAGGACGCTCAAGTTTGATGTAAATAAATGACTCGATTGCTGAGTGAGGGGCACACTTTGCACCCAGGCTCTGCCCTTCATCCAGGCACGGTGACCCCGTGGCATGCCACGCCTGGTCAGATTCCATGACCGGTTTCTGGTGCCTCGCCTGGCGACCAGAGCTCTTTCTGGTGCCTTTCACTCCTTCCTGAAGCTCCACTTCCATCTGCCTGTTTTCCTCCAACCTCAGAAACATCCTCTCTTCCTTGCCATGCAGTTGTGCCGGCTGTGAATTCTTATTAGTCATCCGAAAGCTCTTTATTTCATATTCATTCTTAAGAGACGTATTTGCCCGATGAGAATTCTAATCTGACAGGTTGGTTCTTCCGTCGCACTGATGCTGTTGTCCACTGCCTCTGGCCTGTGCTGCTCTGATGAGAGGAGTCAGTGGTCATATGTGTCCTCATTCCTCCCTGTGAGGTTCACTGTCTGCCTCTGGCTGCTTTGTCAGTTTTGTCTTTGTTTTTGGTTTTTAGCCTGCCATTTGTGGAGGTTTTTTTCCCCCAAATATGCAGAAGAATTCAAAGAATTTTACGGTGAACACCCAAGTACCCACCACCTGGTTTCTCCCATTAATGTACTATAGTTGCTTTCTCACACGTCTTGAAAACAGTGGAGAGTCCGAGGAAGTGGGGCATCTGCTCCAGGAAACTCAGAGGGTGTTGGTGTCTTCATTCTTCAGACCCTGGGTGCCCTGGGGGTTGCACACTGTGGGCCAGAGGGTCAACACCGGACACTCAGTACGAGCCCAGCAGGAAGTGTGTGTGGAGCAGGTGTGGAGCCTGGAGGAACTAGCCATGGAGCCATACAGATAGGGATGAGTGGAAGGCCGGCACTGGGGGGAGCTAGGAGGGAGCTTGTGGGAGGACAGATCAGCTGGGCAGAGGCCAGGTAGTGGGCCTGCCTGAGGAAGGGGCCAGGCAGGGGTGTTGCCAGCCTTTCAGGTGAGTGAGGGTGACCGGGGCAGCTGACATGAAGGTGTGGCTTGAGGGAAGGGCTGCAGCTGCTGTAGGGCTGTTACTCCAGCGGAACTTTAATACTTGGTGATGGGGTTTGAGCCTGTGCTGAACAGAATTGTGTGGGAACTTTTGTGGCTTTGCTCCTGACTAATCACTGTCTCATTGATTTTTCCATCTAAAGGTATGGATGACAAGAATGCAACAAAGCTGAATGAGCTCATTCAGGTTGGGTAAGTCCCGCTTTCCTTGTGAAACGTCCCTTAATCCTCTGGGTGCTTGTGTCTGTTCTCTAAAGTGCAGAAGCTGAAGCTTTGTCAGTGAGGACCTTCTGAGTTAAAACCTCATAACCTCTCAGTTACGTGTGAAGTCCCAACAGAGGGTGCTCAGTCCAGGGAGCGCTGACTGCACCCGGAGCCCCTTATCAGCGTGGGGAGGAAGGGAAGGGCCCTCCCGGGCTTCCTCCTTTCCAGGGGTCTCTGGCTGGGTGTGCTCTCTTGATGCAGCTCTCAGGATCCTGCTTTGTGGTCGCTGTGGGCTGGTCCCGGCTTCTAGAGCCTGTCCCTTCCATTGCATTTTTGTCACGTCCCGGGCCACTTCTGACAGCTTCCCTGCCTTCTCATGCCCTGGGTGCTGCTGTCCTCCCCTCACACGCCTGACTCCCAGAGGGAATGTGCGCTCCTGGCCACACAAACAGCTGGGCCCCTGATGGTCCAGTCGACATCTGTCCAGTTGCTGCTGCTGGTCTGCACCGCAGGGCCGGACCCAGCCATCCCACTCCACAGCTTGGGGTCTCCCTGCTCCACAGCCTGGGGGGTTCTGCATATGTGCATTTTATACTTGGTATGGGTCCTTTTTGGTGGCCCTCCTATCTTAAATCTGTCTTGCCCGCTGACCACACTGGGCTGGCTCCTCCAAGTTTGCTGAACCACAGACATTGGGTCTGCACAGCTGTTTCCGATCCCCGTGGGGGTGCCACCTGCTCCCGAGAGCCCTGCCCTTGCAGCCGCTCCTGAATAGTCCTTAGCCATCTCTCTTCTGTCTGCAGCACCTCACCCTTGAACCTCTGGTTGCTTTTCCCCTTGGCCCTTCTCCGCCCCTAGACTTGTGTCTGATGACCTGGAAGCCCTCCCTGCCCCAGTGGGAGCGGTGCCTGCTGGGCCAGCACAGGGCCTTTCCCTGCATTCCCGGCACAGCAGGTGTTGGGCATGATTCCCAGGCTCTGTGTGAGCTGCCACCAGCCTGGAGCCAGCAACTGTAACTGGGTTGTAGGCATCATTACCATGGGAAAGACCTGTGATTAACCACAGCCACCAGAAAGCACAGGTTGCCCAGATTGGGTCTAGGGTACAGCCAGGGGCCACTGGCCATGTTCACTGCCCTGCCCAGGCGCCCCTCCCAGCTTCAGAACCCTGCTCCACCTCCTTCAGGCAATATCTGTCTTATGTCAGAGGAACCTTCTTGAGAAGCCTTAAGATCGAGGGCTTAGGTGGTTTCTGATGTCACCTTCTGACCGATAGGCAAGGGGCTGTCCCATGAGGGAGAACACTGCCCCAGGATCCAAACTTGGAGCAAGTCTTCCTTTGTCTTTTATTTCAGTTCTTCCAGGATTCATGGGGCGAAGCCAGAGTTCTGGGCTCTTTGCTCCATGCTTGAGGACGGTGCAGAGTGGCCTGTCCGATGAGCGGTCCTTCTGCCTTAGCACAGACATCCTGCTCAGTGGGGGCGCAAGGGGCGCCTTGCGCCAGTGCCATATGCATGAGAACTTATTTAAGAAATAGATTCCATTTAATGACATGGGCACAGGCCGTTCCCAGGCACCGGAGACCCTTGACAAACAAATGCAGCCAGTCACTTTGTTGAGATCTTGGGCCTTTAAAAAACCCAAGGAAAGAAAAGAGAAGGAAATGATTGCAAAGGGTATTCTCGGTATAACTGGGGGGCTTTGATTATGGGCTGCATGATAGAGTGTAGATTTCTGAGTGGTGACAGGGCCTTCATGTGTGGCTTGCAGGGCGAGATGCTCGCTAAAGTGTGCAGAGGGGAAGTGCCTTCTGCTGTAAAGAACCTTCCATTCGCTGGGCGAGGTGGCTCACACCTGTGATCCTAGCTCTTTGGGAGGCTGAGGTGGATGGATCACGAGGTCAGGAGTTCGAAACCAGCATGGTCAACGTGGTGAAACCCCATCTCTGCTAAAAACACAAAAATTAGCTGGGTGTGGTGGCACGCACCTGTAATCCCATCTGCTCTGCAGGAGAATCACTTGAACACGGGAGGTGGAGGTTGCAGAGTCGAGATTGCACCACTGCACTCCAGTCTGGGCGACAGAGGAAGACTCGCTCTTGGGGGAAAAAAAAATTCTCATGTGGTTCTGCCAAGTGAAGGGCAGGGAGCAGGAATGGGTCTGTGTCCCTCCCACCTCGTCCTCCCAGGCAGCAGGTGTGCGGACAGTGGCGTTGAAACGTGTCGTGAGCTTATGCACGCTGAACGGCTTTGTGCCATTTACAGTCATACCATCTGCCATTCTGAGAACCAAACGAAGAGGGAGCCTGGCGTGTGTCCACAGCTCCTCCAGGCCGAGTCTTGGGCCTGTTGGTGAGGAGGCAGCATGACTGTGTCGGCTGTTGTTCTCTGCTGTGCTTCCACAGTGGAGGGGCCCTGAGATGACATTGAGGGTGGGCCCAGGAGGTGGGTCTGTTAGCAGGATGGAAAGATTGATTGCCCCTTAAAGCCGGTGTTGAGGTAGCCCGCCTGGTATACTCCAGTTTGTCTGGAAAACCCTGAGCAGGTGGCAAAAGAGTGAGCTCAGGTGTGGGTGCTGATGGAGAATTTGCCTGAGTAGACAGGGATTTGGCAAATGGCAGGTGAAGGCAGTGCCAGCTCCGGGACTGAATGCTGGGTGAGACCTCAGCAAGAGTGGGAGCCAGCACCAAGGGAACTGACCGCGCTCACCTGACGTCTGGGTCCCAGCCTTACCTGTGGAGGTGTCATCTTCCAGCGAGGTGTGAGGAATGGAGAAGGGGCTTGGAGCAGCATGGTGCCAGCAAGGAAAATTGCTGTCTGTACCCATGAGAGGTCTGAGGCAGAAGGGCTGCTGAGGCGTGTGTTCACTGGTTCTAGAAATGCCTGGGTGCCTGTGTGTGCCTGGCACAAGAATGGGTGCTGGTTATGCAATGGTGGCAGCTGTGCTATGGCAGCCGACGCAGGTCCATTGAGCAGGTCACCTTTGCCTGCCGTGTAGATATGTACAGTAGCTGGGGATGAAAGTTACCATGAAACTGACATGGCAAATGGATGCAGACATGGCAGCTGGCAGGAAGGGAACCTGCCTAGGACATCTAGGGAAGGCTTTTTTAAGATGGTGGCCAAGGTCTTAAAGAGGCGAGTGGGGGCCACACAGAGAGTTGGGGAACCACCTGGCCCAGGGAAAGGAAGGTGGGAAGGAGAAACTGGGCTGTAGAAGCCTCATGAGGGGAGGGGAGAGGAGGGGAGGAGGAGGTTGCAGAGCTGAGGCTGGAGGGCTGGGAGGGGTTCCAGCAGCCCCCGCTGTGTCTCAGGAAGGTAGTGGAGAGTCCCTCGTTGTGGATCAAGTCATGCCCCTTGTTCCCTGTGGAGAAGAGATGGGGGTAGTGTTGCAGGTGGTGTGGTGTGTACGTTCTTTTTCTTTCTTTCCTTTTTTTAATAGAGGCAGCGTTTTGCTGTGTTGCCCAGGCTGATCTCCACCTCCTGGGCTCAAGTTATTCTCCCACCTTGGCCTTCCAAAGCAGTGATGCTGCGGGCATGATGCTCTGTGCCCGACCCGTTTTTTGCTTTAATATTTTAACATGTTATTTTTTGTGTGCTTTTTGTCATACAGTTCTACAAGTTTGTATTAAAATATTTTATTTTTTAGAGCAGTTTTAAGTTTACAGAAAAATTGTGTACAGGGCTACGCGCCCCCCCGCGCCACACATGATTTCCCATTATTAACACTTTGTTGTTGGTTTGTTGTGTTTGTTTTGTTTGAGATGGAATCTTGCTCTGTCGCCCAGGCTGGAGTGCAGTGGCGCAATCTCGGCTCACTGCAACCGCCTCCTCCTGGGTTGAAGCAATTCTCCTGCCTCTGCCACCCGAGTAGTGCATGCCACCACCACACATGTCTAATTCTCTGTATTTTTAGTAGAGATGGGGTTTCTAACTTCCAACCTCAGGCGATCCTCCCGCCTTGGCCCCTGAAAATGCTGGGATTGCAGGTGTTATTAACACTTTGCCTTGGTGTGGTCCTTTTATCACAATTCGTGAGCCTTTCTTGACCCTTCCTCATCACCCAGAGTTCATAGTTCACTTACAGGCCCACTCAGCGTTGTGCCATCTGTTAGTCTGGACACATGGGTAATGAAAAGTGGGTATCACACTGGGGCAGTTCACTGCCCTGAACACCTTGTGCTCTGCCTGTCACTTCCTAGTGCCCCCAGCAGGCACTGATCTTTCCTCTCTCTCTAGCTGCGCTTTTCCTGGAGCGGTGTCGTCACACTGGAATCATCCTGGGCTTAGTCTTGTAGATTGGCCTCTTCACTTACAGTCCTGGAAGTTTTAAGAAATTCATAGAGTTGTGTAGCTGCCACCACTGTCAAGATGTGGAGCACGGCCAGATCCCCTTCTGTCCATCCCCCATACCTTGCCCCAACCTCTGCACCACTTTCCATTCTCTGTAATTTTGGCTTTTCCAGAAAGCCGTCTAAAGGGGATCACGGTCTGCAGCCTTCTGAGATGGGCGTCGCTACTCAGCATTGTGCCCTTAAGGCTCTTCCTTGTTGTCTTGTGGATCTGCCGCTCGTCCCTTTTACCTGCCGAGTTGTGTTCCACAGTGTACACGTGCTGCACTGTTATTCCTTCAGAGTGGAGGGGCCCAGGGCTGTTTGCAGTGTTTCAGTGTTGATGAAGAAGTGATGGGGCTTTGCCTCCAGGTTTTTGTGTGAGCGTGACTTTTGGTCCCCGGGAGGAGGAGGCGGGCATGTGTGTTTGGCTCGACATGGAGCTGCCACACTTCCAGGAGAGTTGCAGTTGCTCCCCACACTCCCTGGCACTTGGCGTGTTTGGGGTTGTCTTTCTGAGCCACCCTAGTAGTGTGGAGTGGCATCGTGTTGTGGTTTTGACGCATTTCCCTGATGACTCATGAGACCCAGTGTCCTTCTCGTGCTTATTTGCTGTCTGTGTATCTTTGGTGAAGTGCCTGTTCATACCTTACGATTGTTTTCTGCTTCTTGAGTTTAAAGAGTTCTTTGCATATTGCAGATACAAGTCTTCTGTTAGATATGCCAGCTGCAAACAATTTCTCCCAGCCTGTGGCCTTTTTGTTCACTTACTGTCTTGCACAGAAAGACGTCCTTTGCTTGGATGAAGTCCAGTCTATCACTGTTTTCTTCTATGGTTTGTGCTTTTCATGTGGCATCTAAGAACTCTTTGCCTAACCCAAGGACACAGAGATGTTCCCCTATGTTTTCTTCTAAAAGTCTTATAGTTTTACATTTAAATCCATGATCTGCTTTGAAGTAACTTTGTGTAACATGTGAAGTTTAGCTGGAGCTTTGCTTTTTGCCTGTGGGTGTCAAGGTGTTCCCATGCCATCTGAAAGGTCTGTCCATTCTCCATTGAGTGGCCTTTGCACCCTTGTCAAACTTGAGTTGACTGTCCCGTGTTGGGTCCATTCTGGACCTTCTGTTCTGTCAGCTTTTGTGTTCATTCTTTTACCAGTAGACGTTCGCACTTACAAACAAGCATCCTGTGAAGGTGAGAGATCGGGAAGATGAGCGAGGTGCCTGGGGGAGGCTACCCCTGGGTTTCAGCCCAAAAGCAATTGGGGTATTTTACTTGCTGCTGCCCCCGCTTCTCATGCAGACCTGTTTCAATTACCTATGAATCTTCTTTTGGTGGTAGAATCGTAAATTGAAAGAGTAAATGAATTTAGAAAAGATCTAACCTAAAATGAAATCTTACTACCTTGTTCACAGACCCAGAGGCGTGAGTTTAGCACGTGCTTATTAGATTTATCAAGTGGCTTTGCAGAGAAGAAAGTAAATCTAAGAAAGGAAAGCCAGGCTCCCATTTACACAGAGGAATTACTCTGTTTTCTATTTGTTGAAATGGTGTTCAGCCGGGCGTGATGGCTAACACACCCAGCACTTTGGGAAGCCGAGGCAGTCAGATCACCTGAGGCCAGGAGTTGGAGACCAGGCAGGCCAACATGGTGAAATCCCATCTGTACTTAAAATACAAAAATTAGCCGGGTGTGGTGGTACATGCCTGTAGTCCCAGCTACTCGAGAGGCTGAGGCATGAGAATCGCTTGAACACAGGAGGCAGAGTTTGTAGTAAGCTGAGATCGTGCCACTGCCCTCCAGCCTGGGTGACAGAGTGAAAGACTCTGCCTTAAAAAAAAAGCTACTCATGGAAGGGTGTAAATAGAGCCTCTGTTTGATGGCTCACATAGAGGTCAGCTTGGGATTCTTCTATAGATAGCACCTCTTAAACCCTGTGTCGGGCCTGTCTGGGAAGTCGTGGCCTGTCTTACAGCTTACGGGCTGGTGTGAGAGTAGGAAAGTATGGACCACGTCCTGGGACTGCAGCCAAACCTCAGTGTCCTCCTGGCTTTGCGCTTTAACATGGCTCTTCACCTTGTTCAGTGCCATAGCCTCTAGTTGGTCGTGGGATTTCCATTTGAGAGAAAAGATGGAGGATTGTAATCTCAGAATGGTTCCATGTGAATGCAAAAGGGTGTACTCATTTTCACTGAAGGAAGAAAAAAGGAAGTCACAAAATAGCAGTTTAACGGAAACTGTGATTATCGAAAACACAGGTGCCACATGACACAGCTCCACCAGCTGTTTAAATCTTGTCTACTACTGTTTTGTTTTGGGGCAGATGGAATAAAAAACGGTGAGCAGAAACGTCCATTTGTTCCCAGAGCACTTAATTGGAGGAGATTGTTTTAAAATTGATTCTGGCCAGGTGTGGTGGCTCATTCTTGTAATCCCAGCACTTTGGGAGGCTGAGGCAGGCACATCACTTGAGGTCAGGAGATTGAAAACAGCCTGGCCAACATGGAGAAACCCTGTCTCTACTAAAAACACAAAAAATTAACCGAGCCTGGTAATGGGCACCTATAATCCCAGCTACTTGGGAGTCTGAGCCAGAAGAATCACTTGAGCCCAGGAGGCAGAGGTTACAGTGAGCCAAGATCGCGCCATTGCACTTCAACCTGGGCAACAAGAGCAAAACTCTTTCTCAACCTGATCTTCAGGCTGGTCTTGAACTCCTGACCTCAGGTGATCCACCTGCCTCGGCCTCCCAAAGTGCCGGGATTACAGGTGTGAGCCACTGTCCCTGGCTTCTGTGGCCTCATAAACACTTGATTAAAGCCTTAGGTTTTGGGGTGATGGTGAAAGCTACTATGGGGGTATTGAGTCTGTGTAATGCTGAAATTAGAGCTAGCACCCTTTTGAAAGGAAAAGGGGATTACAGCTTTGTGTACGGGATATGGAGATTGTGGCGTCGCCCTTTTCTCCCGTCTGAGACTGCCGGAACTGGCTCTTCCAATTAGACATGCTCAGTGGAGGCTGCTCTTCCAGCCAAAGTGTGGGAGTCGTCTCCAGAGTCCCTCCCATGCAGCGCCTGCTGCAGACACGTGCGCACATTTGGATCTCTAATTTTGGTCGTCATTGTATTGGAATAAGACTTTTAAACACGATACAAGTAATGCATACATATAAGACCCTCTCCACCACCCCATCCTGCTCATCTCTTCTCATCAGAGCTAACCACTTAGTCATTTTATGTGTATCTTTCTGATTTTCTTTTTCTTAGGGAGTTTACATAAGTAACTGTACCAGGTATAAATATAGATACATACAGAGATGAACAGGTAATTTTTTACACATCTTTAGAATCATGCTATGTGTTCTGTGGCTTTTCATGGACTGTTTGTTAGAAATTGAACAGCAACTCTCCTACCTGACATGTGTGCAACTGGGAGTTGGTGAAAATCATAAAAACAAAATCATACACGTGCCCCAAGCTTTTTTTTTTGAGAGGGAGCTTCATTCCTGTTGCCCAGGCTAGAGCGCGATGGTGCGATCTTGGCTCACTGCGGCCTCTGCCTCCCTAGTTCACGTGATCCCGTCAGCCTACCGAGTACCTGGGCTGCAGGCATGCACCACCACGCCTGCTTAACTGTAATTTTAGTGAAGGGGGTGTTTCTCCGTGTTGGTCAGGCTGTTCTCAAATTCCTGACCTCACAGAATCTGCCTGCCTTGGCCTCCCAAAGTGCTGGGACTACAGGCATGAGCCACCGCATCTGGCTGCCCTGAGCATTTTGTAAAACGCACAAGCCCGTAGTCATTCACCAGCCAGTGGACTGCTGGCCAGAGGCTTTCTTGACTGGTATCCACTCCTTGGAATTCAAGTTGGTTTTTCTCTTAGAAACTCCTCACAGAGAGGTCACATAGATGTGGACTGAGAAGTCACAGAGGTTATAGAGGTGGGTTGAGGTCACACAGAGGTCATGGAGAGGTAGACTGAGGTCACGGAGATTGTGTAGGGGTGAGTTGAGGTCACACAGAGGTCACAGTGGTGGACTGAGAAGTCATGGAGAGTACTGAGAGCTTCTGCTCTGAGGGTGCAGGGCAGGCACAGTAGATTTTCTTTAAAAAGCAGGTATCCCTTGGAGTGTGAAGCATGGTCAGGAAAGCAACAGGATGTGCAGTCAGCACCTCTTGTTTGTAGCCTTGTCCTGCCACTGACTCAGGTGGGCTCCCGAGGCTGGGGTGGATGCTTGGCCAGGCCTCACCTCGCCTGACCCATGCTTCTCAGCGTGCTGGCCCCTCCGTCCTTCCGTTCACTCACAGGCCTCAGCATTCCTTCAAAACTCTTTTCCCAGGGCCACCACTGTACGTTACAAAGGGCGGAACCTGCGGATCAAAGCGCCCATGTGCCGGGCCCTGAAGAAGCTCTGCGATCCGGATGGTAGGTGAATGGGGCGCTCCCAGGACCAGAGGCAGTGCCTGTGGTGTCTCATTCAGTGATGGGCAGGCTGAGCTACAGGGTCTCCGCTGCAGTTGGTTTGTGTCTGGCCCTGCTTAATCCCAAGGCTGCAAATGGACGACTCTTGAACTTGAAATGCTTCCTGCGTCCACTCAGTCAAGTTGAGCTCAGAGCCATGGTAGCAGTCAGCAGACCAGTTACCTGTTGTCAGGACCGAGTCTCCCATGGCCCCTCTGGACCAGTCTGTTGCTCTGCCTTTGCAAACCCATGAGCAACCACATCAGATTTCCTTCTTGGCTGGGGTTTCTCTGCTGTCCTTGCCTCTGTTTGTAAGGCGGCCTGCTCACAGCTCTCTGATTTCACTGGTTTGTCTGGCCAAGTGCTTGATCTTCTACCTTAAGGTCGGTCTGTGCTAAACTTTAATGATTCCTTTCTGTTGCAGGCTTGAGTGATGAAGAGGACCAGAAGCCAGTGCGCCTGCCCCTGAAAGTTCCCATAGAGCTACAGCCACGGAACAACCATGCCTGGGCCCGCGTGCAGAGCCTTGCCCAGAACCCGCGCCTCAGGTAATGAGGCCTTTGGCATTCAGAAGAGTCCCAACTGCTTGAGCAGGATTGGAGGGTATGTGTGTGAGTTTCCCTCAAGGAGCTCCCAGGAGAAGCAGGTTCACCCCCGTGCTCTGTCGTCACACAAGGGCACAGCAGTGTGGAGGGACTGGAGTCCTGGGAGCATTGGGCTGCAGTCCTGGACCTGGGCAGGTATCACCTAGGCCATGTGCAGGCCACAGGGGGATGTCGTGGTGAGAAGAGGAGTGGCTGCAGAGCCTCCCTGTCATCCCCCAGTAAGGTCCACACTGCTCCTCTCTCCCACCTGCTTCTTGGAGACTTGTGGTGTGCATATGCCCAAGGTGCCACGTGGGATGGACCCTTTTTGATTTGTACATTTAAAAAAAATTGAGGTAGCCAGGCACAGAAGCTCATGCCTGTAATCCCAGTACTTGGGAGTCCGAGGGAGGCAGAGGTCAAGAAATTGAGACTTTCCTGGCCAACGTGGTGAAACTCGTTTCTACTAAAAATACAAAATTTGACTGGGTGTGGTGGTGCACACCTGTAGTCCCAGCTACTCAGGTTGCTGAGGCAGGAGAATCACTTGAACCCAGGAGGCGGAGGTTGCAGTGAGCCGAGATCGTGCCACTGCACTGTAGCCTGGGTGACAGAGCAAGACTGTGTCTCAAAAAAATAAAAAAACAAAATTGAGGTAAAATTCACATGTCGTAAAATGAACTTAGCCATTTTTAAGTGTATAGTTCGGTGGCATTTAACAGTCAGAGTTCTGCGACCATCACCTCTGTCCAGTTCCAGAATGTGTTCATCACCCTAGAAGAGTCATCTTGCCCACTAGGACTCACTCCTCGAGTCTCACTGTCCAACGGCTGCTGGCCTCTCCCAGTCCCCTTTGTGTCTCAGTGGCTTTGCCTACCCTGGAGGTTTCACAGAAATGGAATCACACCCAGAGACCTCTGGGCCTGGTGCCTTTCACTGGGCATGACGCTTTCGAGGTTCACCGTGTTGTAGTATGTGTTAGCGCTTCATTCCTTCTGTTTGTGTATTTTTTCCCTGAGCATGTATTAACACTGCCCAGGCCCACCGTTCTGGAAGCCAGAAGCAGCTTGTAGACTAGGCAGAGGCTGCGTGCCTGTGCCCACACCCTGGCGGAGACCTGGTGCTAGCAGAGAATGCTCAGGATCTCTGTGTTACTTTCATCAGCTCCATGTGAAACTTTGGCAATTGCAGCTGGAAAGCTGGCTTTTAGCCACAGGAGCCAAGGGCCCTGCGGGTGCCAGCTCTCAAGTGCCCCTCTGGAGGTCCCTTGTCTCTTTTGGCGCCATCTTGCTGTAGGCAGCCTCAGGGCTCTTGAGAAGGTTCACTCCTGTTCTATGAGCCTCCCTTCCTCCTGTCTTCACCTCGTTAGGATGATCGTGGAGCTGCATCGAAAGGTCTCCAGCCTCATCGAGTTCTTGAAGCAGAAGTGGGCGCTCCATGAGGTGCGAGTTGTATCCTTTTCCAACTAAAGCAAACCCTCCAGGCTGAACTGCCTCTGCTGCCGGGGACAGATCATGCTTCCCAGTACCTGTTGTCGTGGTTCCCATGGGCAGAGCAGCTGTGCGGTGACATGGTGAACATCTGGAACCATAACCTGGAACCCCTTGTTCCCTGGGTGTGGAGCCCCCTCTATGGCCTTGCAGTGCTAGAACTCAGTCACAGCCAGCCCTCCACGATGCCAGTGGCCTGTGTCTGTCCCATGGGGTGTGGCCAAAGCATTCCTACCAGCCCGTTGAGCCAGACAACCAAGGGTCAGCCCAGCCTTCTTCATGTCCATGGCTGGCCCCCAGCCCTGCCCATTCCCCACGCGGGTGAGGTGTGTGTTAGGTGTGAATTTCCCGAAGGTGCTAAGTTCCCGGATCAGCATTGTTTGGTAGTGATGTGAGGAAGGCCCTGGGTCAGGGGCATGATCTAAAGCCTGGGGGATGCCACTGGGGAGCATGGCTCATGTCTGTAGCAGTGTGCCAGGTAAACATCCCGACCTCAGTGCCAGTCAGCCTGGGCCTTCCTTGACGGGTACTCAGAGGAAGACACTTGAGGAGCGGCAGCTGCAGGACTCTTGCTCCCCACCGATGCAGGAGAAGGTGACTCTGCACTTGTTCCCAGGCGAGAACTGCACGCTGACACCACTGCCAGGCGTGGCCCGTGTGGTACACTCCAAGGCCTTCTGCACGGTGCACTGGCAGGAGGGCGGCCGGTGCAAGCAGAGTGCCAAGGATGCCCATGTGCTGCCCCCAGCCCAGATTCTGGGCATCCAGAGTGGGCAGGGCACGGCCCGGGGCCAGGTGAAATGCCCGAGGGGCGGAGCTGAGGGCAAGGGTGTGGGGCGGCCCCCTCCTGCGGCTGATGCCTCGCAGAGCTCCGGAGAGAGTTCCCCCGAAAGTGCCCCTGGGGAAGGGGTCATCCTAAGCTTGAGTAGCCCGGATGCTCCCGACAGGCCTCCCCCCAGGCACCAGGACACGGGGCCATGTCCTGAGAAGACCCCTACAGAAGGCAGGGACAGCCCCATCCGGGAGCCAGGGGCCTTGCCATGTGCCTGTGGTCAGCTTCCAGACCTGGAGGATGAGCTCTCGCTCCTAGACCCCTTGCCCCGCTACCTGAAATCCTGCCAGGACCTCATTGTCCCGGAGCAGTGCCGCTGTGTAGACATGCGGCCTGGGAGCGAGCAGCCAGCTCCGGGCCGGGCAGCCTCCCCAGAGGTGCTGGCTCCTGTCAGCAAGGAGCCTGTTGACCTTGCCCCTGCTGGGCCGGCCCCAAGGCCCGGCCCTGGGCTCTTGTCGGATGTTTGCACTAAAGACTCGGCAGATGCACCTGCAGAGGAGGTCCAGGAAAAGGGGAGCCCTGTCGAGCCTCCGCTGCCTCAGGGACAGCCTGTCGCCAGACCCCCAAAGGAGGTCCCTGCCAGCCAGCTGGCACAGCAGCTCCGTGAGGAGGGCTGGAACCTGCAGACCTCCGAAAGCCTCACGCTGGCTGAAGTCTACCTCATGATGGGCAAGCCCAGCAAGCTGCAGCTGGAGTACGACTGGCTGGGGCCTGGCCGCCAGGACCCCCGCCCTGGCTCCCCAGCCACCACCCTCCACAAGCAGCGCCTCCTCAGCTGCCTCCTGAAGCTCATTTCCACCGAGGTCAACCCCAAGCTGGTGAGTGGGTCGGGGCCCAGCGCCTCTGACAGCCAGGTCCAGTCTTGGAGGACTCCCAGCTGGGTAGCTAGGGCCAGCACAGGTGGGGTCCAGATGAGAGAGAGAGGGTCCTGTTGCAGGGAGCCCACGGGACCTCCAGGAAGGAGGAGAGGCAGGGACCTAAGTGATCTGGGAGACAGGCTCTCCATAGATCGTGTTCGTCTCCCTTGAGTAGGGATCTGAGGGCACTAGATGAGGGTCCCCACTCCCCTGCATGGCGCCAGAAGTGCAATGATGAGTGGCCTGGGTGTTCTTTTCTGTGTGGTGCGTGGAAGAAGACGGCCCACAGGCAGGCAGTACCTCGTGAGCCCTCATGCTCCTGCGAGTCTGCCAAGCCCACGTGTGCAGCGGAGGGGACAACATGCACAGGACCGAGGGTCACAGAGTGAGGCCTGGAGCTGAGCTAGCCTTCTTTCTTATCTAATCACTGTTATAGGTTTCCACAGAGGGAACAACGGGTGTAGTTCTTGCTCTAGAAAGACCATCCTAGCTGCTGTGCAGATGGTGTGTGGCGAGCTCAGAGGAGAGCAGGGATATGGTGCTGTGGCAGAGGAGTGGAGCTGGGGACCAGAGAGGATGGTCCCTGCAGTGTGTGGGTGGGTCCTGAGTCGAGTCTAGGAAAGGGTCCCCTACCTCAGGGAGGCCAGTTGGTGGAGCCAACAGACGGGGTGCAGAAAGGGCTGCTGCTGGGAGTTATCCTACCCTATGCCCCCAAGTTTGAAAGGATTTCTGGGTGCAAGAGAGCAAGGTCTCATGGCAGACCATCCTGAAATGGCGTGTTTGGACACTGGCGAACTGCTGGATGTGAGCGAGGGGCTGGAAGGACGGGCTGGGGCAGGAGCTGCAGGTCACTGTGGGCCCCTGGGCGCCATTTCAGTCAGAATGTGTGTGAGGCACACATGTCCCTGTGCTAGTGGGGCACTTGGGATTTGGGCACTCATGAGCCCCTGCCCACCCGCTGCTCCTGCTCCGCGCAGGCCGCCTCCTGGCTTCTGAGTGGTGCTTGCTTCTGCCTGCGTCCACCGCGCCTTCCACTGGTTTTCTGCCCCCGCGCCCAGCCCATGCTCTGCTTGCCCCGGAGACTTGGTCCATCAGCAGGTGGCAGGAAAGTGCAGATTTGCCCAGGCGGCATCACAGGGCCTGGTTACAGGGCAAGTTCTTACAGGGTTGGTGGTGACTGCGCCTGACCCTCAGGTGCCTCTGCGGCCAGGCCTGAGGGTGAAAATGGCTCGAGGTGGTGTGGAGAGGATGCCAGGGTGAGCAAGCGGTGACCAGAAAGAGCATCTTTAGACGGCTCTTCAGGTTTGGCTTTTGGCGGTCTCATGGGAGAGGCTATGGAGATATGTGGTGCCTGTGTTCAGGTGTCCCAAGGCAGGGGCCAAGGCAGGCTCCTGAGAGCGCAGGTGTCAGTCCTGGGACGCAGAGCAGGTAGGAATCCCACACAGAAGGGCATCCCCATCCCCCGGGGAGCCAGTTAGAGAGGCTGGCTTAGCGTGGGCCTGGCAGACTGGAAAGACAGCTAGGTGCCTGATTCACCTCAGGTGTGGGGTCCTCTGCCCCTGTGTTGTCACTTGCCTGGTAGAGCTGTGACGAGCAAACACCCCTGAAGGCTCAAGCCCCAGAGATCAAGAGATGCCAAGGGCTGCTGAGCCACTGTCGAAGGTGGAAGTGGCAGCGTAGGAAGGGTCATGAGGTGGGAGGGTCCCAGAGAAAGCCTGGGCTGTGGGGACTAGGGGCTGAAGGCGCTGAGTGAGCAGACAGGCAGGGCTGTGCTGAGAGCATGGGGCAGAGGGCTTCTTAGTCCACAGGGAGGTTTCCCGGGTGCGACGTGTGGGGTGTTCAGGAGAGTGAGGAGAGCCAGGAGGCTTGGGATGCTGGCTAAGTCTTCCCAGCGGTGGTGGCATCTCTTTGGTGAGCCAGGTGGGGACCCCAGGACTCAGCAGCAGGCTCTGTGCGCTGTGGCATTGGCATGCATACCCCCCGAGGTTGGGCTTCATCACTGCAGTGTTCTTCAGCTGTGCTTGTGTCTGTTTCTAGAAAGCCTACCTGTATTTCCTTCCTCTGACTCACAAGCAGACAGCCTACTGCAGTCTTGTGCTTTTTCATGTGGCTTTGAGCTCTGGACACTTGTCACTTGCTATCCAGCATCTCTTTCTGCAGCCCATGCTGGCGCTTCCAGCTGGTCCCCTCTGTCCCACTCTGCCTTCGCATGTGGAAAGGTACTTGTGAGGAAGCGAGTGGTTTTCGTTACTTACCTGACCAGTGACCTTTAACACTAGCAAGCTGCCAGTTGGCTCTGGGGACTCGGCGTTTGGGCATCTCTGGCCCAGGCCTTTGCCGTCATGACACTGTGCTCTCTGGGCTTGATGAAGTTCTCGTGCCTTAGCACACATTTCAGAGCCGTTTCTCACGTGCCAAGTTTGGACGTTGTTTGGCCCACTTCTGTCCCAGGCTCTGGAAGCAAACACTGTCTCTACAGTGAGGCCGTCCCAGGAGGAGCAGTCAACAACGCCCCCAGGGAAGGTGGTGACCGTCAGCTCTAGAAGCCCCCGCTGCCCTCGGAACCAGGCCACCCTCCGCAGCAGCAAGACCTTCCCGCCCAGCTCTGCACCATGCCCCTCAGGTGAGGCTGTGGCAGCCACACTCCCTTTGCCTGGTCCACCCTGTTGGCGTCGTCCTGGGCTTCAGGGGCCGTGCCGAAGCTGAGGGCACAGGTGTACCTGAGACCTGGCCCCACTGTCCAGATCGCCACGATCCAGCTGACAGGATGAAGGTGCAGAAATTACTGCCTCCTCCTGGAGCGGGTGATGCCAGGGCCTGTCACGAGGACTTTGGGGTCCTGGGGTATAGAAGTTGGCAAGAAGCCAGCCTTTTGCCAGTCTGGTGACTTTGGGGTCTGTTCCATGGGACCAGCAAAAGCCTCCCTAATGTGCTGAGTTGGTGGTTCAAAACCCGTGCGAAGATTGTTGTTTTTTTTTTCTCTCTCTCTATTTTTCTTCTCATGTAAAACATCAGAATAGAGAATCCTTCAGTTAGGAGGTGCCACTAAGTTAACCCAAGTCCTGGTGGAGCAACCTGCCAATCCGCAGTGTACTCCTGTCCCAGCTGTGTACTGGAAATAATTAAAATTCAGGGATCATCAATTATGTTTCTGGTACATAAAACCCCAAGACAAACATGTCCAGTTTCCCGAGGCATCAGTTTCACTTGCTTTCAACCCATAGTATTTTTTTAATAAAGCAGATTAAAACAGTGAATTTTTAAGTGTAAAACTGGTGAGTTTTAGGCTGGGTGCGGTGGCTCACACCTGTAAACCCAGCACTTTGGGAGGCCACAGTGGTTGGATCACCTGAGGTCAGGAGTTCGAGACCAGCCTGGCCAACATGGTGAAACCCCATCTCTACTAAAAATACAAAAATTAGCCAGGCGTGGTGGCGGGTGCCTATAATCCAAGCTACTCAGGAGGCTGAGGCAGGAGAATCGCTTGAACCTGGGAGGCAGAGGTTGCAGTGAGCTGAGATCATGCCACTGCAGTCCAGCCTGGGTAACAAAGACCATCTCAAAACAAAAATGAGAATCAGTCTTTATATGGGACCGAGATTGAGATAGAGGTATCTCCTTTCAAGACAACCAAACAGGTTGCCAAGGGAGTGTTTCTCTGACTTTCTTCCCAACAGAATTCATTGACCCTGGACCTGTTGCTAGGTGAATGCTGTCACAGTGATTCTTTCCTCTCCTCTACCAGGTTTGAGAAACCCTCCAAGACCCCTCTTGGTGGCTGGTCCCGCCAGCACAGGAAGCAGTGACTCAGATGGCAGCCTTTTTGCTGTCCCAACAACCTTGCCACCCAACAGCAGACACGGGAAGCTCTTCTCTCCCAGTAAAGATGCGGAGCTGACTTTCCGCCAGCATCTCAACTCCATCAGCGTGAGTGTGTGCGGCCAGGCCATCCCATGCGGGTTTCCCTGTGGAGAGCACACCTTCATGTGCCGTGCGCTGCTCCCTTACAGATGCAGTCGGATTTCTTCCTGCCAAAGCCCCGGAAGCTGCGGAACCGACACCTTCGGAAGCCACTGGTGGTCCAGGTTAGGTTCTCGTCAAGTCTGAATGTGCTGCCTCATGCCTGGGCCAACCCGGACATGGGGTTTCTTCCCTCTGTCAGGTTTTCATTGCGTCAAATGGGGGAAAATCCCTGCCCCTTCCTTCCCGCTTGTGAGTAGGGTAAATACAAGTAATAATAGTGAACTTAATGGTACCCAGAAGTAAAGGTAATCTTTCAACAATGTACAAAACCACTTGCAGAAAAGACAGTTATGGGGATTCAAGTCCAAAGAATGTCCCAGATTGGGATTTTTTTTTTGAGACGGAGTTTTGTTCTTGTTGCCCAGGCTGGAGTACAATGGCACAGTCTCAGCTCACTGCAAACTCTGCCTCCCGGGTTCAAGGGATTCTCCTGTCTCAGCCTCCCAAGCAGCTGGGATTACAGGCATGTGCCCCCATACTTGGCTAATTTTTGTATTTTTAGTAGAGATGGGGTTTTTTCTCCATGTTGGTCTGGCAGGTCTCAACTCCCGACCTCAGGTGATCTGCCCGCCTCAGCCTCCCAAAGTACTGGGATTGCAGGTGTGAGCCACTGTGCCCGGCTGGGAGGTATTTATAGACTATAAGCACACCTGTTTATTAACATTTAGTCAGTGGGAGCAGTTGGTGGGCATGTGGGTCGGCTGGAGCCCAGGCTTCTCATGAACTCCCCGGGAGGACCCAAGGATGCTGTATGCCTGAGGGACATGCAGGGACTCAGAGACCTCCCAGAAGAAGACCTTGGCATTTTGAGGCATAAAAGTACAGAAAGTGAGGCTGAGTGGAGTGGCTCACGCCTGTAATCTCAACACTTTGGGAGGCCGAGGTAGGTGGATCACGAGGCCAGGAGTTCAAGACCAGCCTGGCCAAGATGGTGAAACCCCATCTCTACTAAAAGTACAAAAATTAACTGGGTGTGGTGGCGGGTGTCTGTTATCTCAGCTACTGGGGGCTGAGGCAGAGAATTGTTTGAAGTCTGGGGGTAGAGTTTACGGTGAGCCGAGGCCGTGCCGCTGCACTGCAGCCTGGGCGACAGGGCGAGACTCTGTCTCAAAAATACAATAATAATTACATAGTACAGAGAGTGAGGTGGGAAGTCTGAGATAATTAGCGCCTTAGAAATGTATGGATGTGTGTTTTGGATTAATGCACAGGTTTCTTTTCGTGGTCTAGACTCTTAGAAATCTCTTTCTCTTTTGACATTAGTGAATTTACAAATGAGAGATTCGTGAAAGGTCTTAGAAAGAAAGATGCCCTCTAAATCTTAGGTGTTCTTTGTTCAGACTAAGACCAGGGTTGAAAACGGTGGCCCAGGGGCCAGTTTCAGCCTGACTGCTGTTTTGTCTAATTTAAAACAGCTTTACAGACAGACAACTCACATATCGTAATGTTTGCCCATCTAAAGCGTATGACTCAGTGGTTACAAGGTTGTGCAGCCATCACCAGGGTCTAATCCCAGAATGTTCCCAGGAAGGAAACACTGCACCTTTGAACTCATACTGTCTTCTCAGAACCTCCAGCCCTTGGCCACGATGAATCCACTTTCTGTCTCTATGGATTTGTCTACTCTGGGCATTTCCTATAAATAGGATCATACAGTATGTGGTCTTTTCCACTTAACATTTTTGTTTTTTTGAGATGAAGTGTCACTCTTGACCCCCAGGATGGAGTGCAATGGCACGATCTCGGCTCACTATAAAACCTCTGCTTCCTGGGTTCAAGCAATTCTCCTGCGTCAGCCTCCTGAGTAGCTGGGACTACAGGAATGTGCCACCATGCCTGGCTCATATTTGTATTTTTTTTTTTTTTTTTTTTTTAATATAGACAGGGTTTCAACACATGGGTCAGGCTGGTCTCGAACTCCTGACCTCAGGTGATCCACCCACTTTGGCCTCCCAAAGTGCTGGGATTATAGGCGTGAGCCACCACGCCTGGCCCTCCACTTAATATTTTTGTAAATAAAGTTTTGCTGGCACACAGCCATGATTATTCATTTCTGTACTATCTACTGTTTTCCACATGGGCAGGGTCAAGTACAGACCCTGAAACCTAAAATATTTCCTGCCTGCCCCTTTACAGAAAAAGTGTGCCTAGCCCTGGAGTGAAAGCTTGTACTCCTAGGCATAGCCTGCCTCTGTCTGCAGTGGCACCTCCTTGCTTCTCCAGTGCCAGTGTCCTGGGGCATCTCAGGGTAAAGAACTGCAGCGGCACCCCCGGAGGCTGGAGTGCCTCAGACGCTTGAAGGTTGACAGACACTCTTGTGTTCATGTTTGATCTTGATTACTGACAGTTTCAGTGATGAACGCAGTTTCTCTGATGGTAGTCCTTGTTACTCAAACCTACCATTGCACATCCAGCCTAATTATTCCCTCACAAAAGCCCCGTGAGGGGTGCCTCATGCCTTTGGTGCCTGTTTTTCTTCACCCCGTGTGAGGAAGCCCAGGACGGGGGTGTCACTCATAAAAGTCCATATCCAATGATTATACACAGGTTTATTTGACTCTTTGCATTCTAGCCAAATCTAAAAGAAAGTTTGGGTTGAAAGTGGATCAGGCTGGGTGCGGTGGTTCACGCCTGTAAATCCCAGCACTTTGGGAGGTTGAGGCGAGTGGATCACCTGAGGACCAGAGTTGAGCCTGGCCAAGGTGGTGAAACCTCGTGTCTACCAAAAATATAAAAAGGAGCTGGGCATGTGCTGAGTGCCTGTAATCCCAGCCACTTGGGAAGCTGAAGCAGGAGAATCACTTGAACCCGGGAGGCAGACGTTTCAGTGACCGTGCCACTGTACTCCAGCCTGGGGGACAGAATGAGACTCCATCTGAAAAAAAAAAAAAATGGATCACTCTGACATGCCTCCAGTTTTCCCTGGGAAAGGTTTGATTACATGGGTTTGTTTCAGAGTGGACCTAACTGGGGCTGGGGGTGCACAGGACCTGTCTGAGACACCCTGTGTCATTGGCTCTAAAAAAAGCTTCACCTGGCTATGCTAGGCACCCTCTTCCTCGGGACATTCTGTGCAACCTGGATCTGGAGTGATCTTTTTGGCATAGGAGTTCATCACCTTGACTGTTTGCCATTTTTCTGCCACAGAGAACGCTGCTCCCTAGACCGTCAGAAAACCAGTCCCACAACGTTTGTTCCTTCTCCATCCTGTCTAACTCTTCGGTCACTGGTAAGGACCCAGAGCTTTTCTGGGGTAGCCTTTCCCTCCTCCGCACCTGAGGCCTTGGCTTTGGAAACAGTGGGTGCTTATTTCCATGGCTTATTTTCAGGCATTCCTTTGTTCATTCTACTGACCGATACCCAATGTACCCTATGTGCTGGGCCACAGACTGCCGTGGGGGGCGAGGCAGTTAGTGCAGAGGGAGCCCCTTCGTCTGTGGCCTCTGAAGGCCCTGTGTGAGGCGGCTGGCTTGGTGTGAGTTACAGAGCACCTCTTGTGTGCTCTCTGGACCTAACATCTTGCCAGCTGTTTTATGGAATGGATGTGTTCTTGGGTGTGTGGATTATGCTTCCATCAGTCTGTATGTTTAGTGGGGGCCTTGGCTCCGGGCAGTAGATGTGACACAGGGAGAGGCTTCTAGTGAAACACATACTCTGTGACGTACCTTTGCTGCCAGTCTTGACTTCCGCATCTCTCACTGACATATTGCAAGACACGTACACAGCTGTCGGTTGCTTTTTCTCCTCCTACTTTTCCATTTTCAACTGCGGAAAGCCTGGCAAGTTACAACCAAATTGCAGTGGCAGAGTCGTAGTCCAGAATCTGATGCTCTGACTGCCCTGGGGCCTGTTCCTCAGTTCGGGGGCTTGTCACCCTTAAAGAGCCATTTCCGCAGGATGACAGCGGTGACCGCAGCCTTCCAGTAGCTCCTGGGAGGCACAGTGGGGGGTGCCAGAGCTTGTGTGACCTTGGGGGCCTGTGTGACCTCTGACCCTCACATTAGCATTTGGAATGGTCGCTGGCTCCCAGCTTGGCTCAGCTTCCACACTCCCAGCAGTGGCTATAAAGGAAGCCCCTGTGGCCCCGTCCTGCTGCGAGGGCACGGTGGGCGGGCTCGACATGTCTGCTTTTGCCCTCGCCCTCGCAGGGAGAGGTTCGTTCCGGCCCATCCAGTCTTCTCTGACCAAAGCAGCTCTGTCTCGGCCGATCGTGCCCAAGGTTCTTCCACCCCAGGCCACGAGTCACCTGGCCAGTAAGTCTGTACCTGCATGGCCACAGCCACTGAGTGAGCCTCTGAGGGATGTTTTTGTTACAGGTTTTTTGAATAAATGTTTTCTTCAAATCATAATGTCTCATAACCCTTCACCAAGAACATGCAAGCCCCTGGCTCAAGCATTGACGTGAGGTGTGAGGGAGAAGCTGTTCCCCGAGCCCTCTTGGGACATACCATGGGCTGTCAGTAGAGCAGAGATGTGTAGTGTCCTTTCTGTTGCCAGGTACTGTCGACTTAGCAGCTACGAGTGCCGGCATCCTCCCCGGGAACCCCCTCCCTGCCTTGGACACCGAGGGCTTGTCTGGTATCTCTCCACTGTCTTCAGACGAGGTGACAGGTGCCGTCTCTGGGCAGGACCCCACTGGAACTCATCAGAATGGAGACGCCCTCCCCACCATGGGGGTGAGTATGTTTAGAAGGGTTTTTCAGCGTTACCACCAACTTCTGGTATGGACACCAAAGCCATGTGGCTGAGATCACACTGGACTCCAGCTCAGCCTTTGGAGGAGAGTCACCAGACCAGGGCTGCCATGGCGTGAGCAAGCTCTGTGTAGTACAGAGCAGAGAGGCATCCAGAGCCACTGACGGAAGGTGGGGACAGGCTTGCCATGTGGCATGGGAGAACCCAGAGCTCAGATGATGTGGAAACCTGGCTCCATCTGAGAGTGACCGTGACCAAGTTGGCAGCAGCGAGCCCACAGCACTGGGCCGGGGCATCACTGAGCATGTTTTTCATCTGGGAAAAGAACCCCCTGCATGGCCTCGACCATTGCTTTTTTCCGAGGCTCCAAGCACCGGGTTTCTCCAGCCTCCCATGGCCACTTCAGAGACACCCCAAGGAAGGTGGGGCGGGCTGATGCTCTTATGACTCCAGGGAGCCCAGCTCTGCCTGCTACAAAGTTGACTTCCTGATAGAGGAACTTTAGTTCACTCTTTGAAGCCACAGAAAAATTTCAGGTACAGGGCCCATGCCCTGAAAGTGGCCTTTTAGCATTTTCGACCTTAGACCCCTGTCCATTTACTCTCCCTCCACTGTCAAGAGGCCGTGGGGATGGAACACCTCTTTGTGGAACTCTGTCGCAGGCGAGGGTGTGGGCAGCGTCCGGTGCACCTCGCGGCTGCTCATGGGCGTGCTGTTCCTGCAGGGCTCGGACCCGTTCATCAGCATCCCTTCGAGACCCGAGCAGGAGCCAGTGGCGGACAGTTTCCAGGTAGAATGCGCTCATGTGCTGCCGAGCAAAGCAGCTGCCCCAGGACTCCCTCCAGTGCCCTGAGCTGCCACGTGTAGTCTTGCAGTGGCCGGGCTTCTCTCTGGGACTGCTCAGAGGCTTTGCTGTTCTTCCATCTTCTATGCCGGCTGTCCAGGGTGGATAAATGTGAATACAGCTGTCCCCTACCTCAGACTTCCCTCCTCTCCTCTCCAAGGTGGGCTGATTCAGAACCAGCTGTGAAAAAACTCAGTTTTCTGAGAGGAGGAGGAGGCTGTCAGCTAGTAACTCCCCCAGCACCCACCCTCTTTCTGGCTGTGTCAAAGCAGGTCCAGGCTGCTGCAGCCTGGCCTTCTGAGTCTGCCATACTGAGTGGTTTTGGGAGAAATAACTTCCCCGAGTGTACTGTTGAGTTGGAAGGGTGAGGTGACGGCAGCACTCATCACGCTGTTGATTTGCCCACCGGTGTTTCCTCCCTTGTCGTGGGTTCTGATAGACTGGTTGTGTCTGAAAAATACCTGTCTCCCAGCAGGGTTCTTCTGTTCTCTCCTTATCTGAGCTGCCCAAAGTCCCTCTCCAAAATGGCCTCTCCGCACCGCTGTCCTCGGCAGAGAGCTCCAGCACCCGGCTGTCTCCACCAGACGTCTCTGCTCTGCTTGACATCTCCTTGCCCGGCCCGCCTGAGGATGCGCTGTCCCAGGGCGAGTCTGCCACACACATCAGCGACTCCATCATCGAGATCGCCATCAGTTCCGGCCAGTACGGTAAGGGCAGGGCGGACCCACAGCCCTTCGTGTCGGGAGGCGTTGATCTCCCACCCGAATGCTTGCCACACATGCTGGGAGTATTTCAGTTCTGTGATTTTTCTTTTTTTTTTAAACGGAGTTTCGCTCTTGTTTCCCAGGCTGGAGTGCAATGGCGCAATCTCGGCTCACTGCAACCTCCGCCTCCTGGGTTCAGGCACTTCTCCTGTCTCAGCCTCCTGAGTAGCTGGGATTACAGGCACGCGCCACCACGCCCAGCTAATTTTTTGTATTTTTAGTAGAGACGGGGTTTCACCATGTTGACCAGGATGGTCTCGATCTCTTGACCTCGTGATCCACCCGTCTCGGCCTCCCAAAGTGCTGGGATTATAGGCTTGAGCCACTGCACTTGGCCCAGTTCTGTGATTTTTATGAATTGGACTGTAATTTTTACGAATTGAATTCTGTGATTTTTACAGATTGTCCTTTAGCAGGGACATTGCAGGTGGATAAGGTACCTGGGACCTGAGGCTGCTGATGGCCTGGTAGGCTTGCGTCTGACCTTCAGGCGAGACAGTGGGATGGCCCCCGCAAGGCGCTCTTCAGCCTGGGGATCAGAGTTTTTATAGCTGATCTTGAACCTGAAGAGGCGGCCTGCGGGTCTTGCAGAGCTTTCAAAGCAGTTGGGCTGGGCCCTGTGGGCTTTGGTCTCACCTGCTGTCTGGGACAAAGCTCCTGGGAGCAGTGGTTTGTTGGTCACTAGTGTGACTCGGGCTGTGGGTTCAGAGAGACATGAGTTCACAGTGTATTAGCATGTAGCCTTGGACAGGTCACCAACCCATTGAACCTCCCTTTCCTAAGCAGTAAATTGCGAATAAGATACAGCTCACAGGGCTGCTGTGGGTGCTGTGAGATGACTTGTGGAATCCGTGGTCACCACTGCCCTTACGTTCACTGTGTGCCACGCCCTCCCACCCCACAGAGCTGTCCTTTACAGGTGCCGCGCTCCTTACCTGCAGAGCCGTGCCATCTGTCTGGTTGAGCAGGGCGGAGCCCTGCATTCCTGCTGCCTTCTCCGTGGTGGGCTGGGGAAGTGAGGTGCTGTTCACCTCCCCACAACAAGGCGTTTCTTATCTGGAGTCTTGGTTGGCAGGTGAAGGTGTTCCTCTTTCTCCAGCAAAACTGAATGGCAGTGACAGTTCCAAGAGCCTTCCCTCCCCATCCAGCAGCCCCCAGCCAAACTGGATTGCCTCTCCCACCCACGACCCCCAGTGGTACCCCAGTGACTCCACTGACTCCTCGCTCAGCAGCCTGTTCGGTGAGTGTATAAGGAGGGCTCCCGTCTCCCTTCCGGGACCAGCAGGGGCTGGGGTCTGCGGGACGCTGGGTTCTCTCTGCCGTGGCCAAACTCAAACTCCCACCAGGACAGTTGGCTTGTTTGCTTCTCACGTGCTTCTGTGTTTCTGAGTTAATATCTGTGTGTGTAATTTGCATATGGGAAAGTGTACACATTTTTAGTGTACAGTTCACGAAGCTTTGGCAAGCATGTGCAGCCTGGTAACCCACAATCCAGTGGTGACCCCAGATGCTGGGGTCTGGGTGCCTTCCCAGTCTGTCCAGCTAGCCTGGCGCCTCCCCACTCGGGCTCTCTCGATGGGAGAAAAGGAAAGTGGTTTCTTGGCACTCCCTTGGCTCCTCTCTTTCTGTGGTCAGTAAGGTATTTGGAAGTGGACGGTCCAGCTGCCACCCGGCACATTCTTGAATACAAATTGGAGAGTTCATAGGATGTGTCCATCCTCTTCCCCCACTGCCCGTTTGCCTACTGAGTATCAATCATGGCAGGAAGGGGTGTATCAGGGAAAGAGACACCCTGCTGCTGTTGCCTCCACAGGGAGAGCTCACGTTAGCATGACTGGGGGCTGCCCACCCATGGCTTTACAGAGTGGCCAGGGCTTGTAGCTGGGCAGCCCAAACAGTGGGCATCATGCCTGACAGCCCTGAACTGTTGGGTGTCCTGGGCCTGGGAGGTGCATTGGCAGCCAGCACCCTGCAGGCATTTCCTTTTGTCACATGTAGCAGTGCAGTTTTGTGCAAAGTCACATGTAAATTGTGAAAAATTGGAAACAGGCCAGGCGTGGTAACTCATGCCTGTAATCCTAGCACTTTGGGGAGGCCAGGGTAGGAGGATTGCTTGAGATCAGGAGTTTGAGACCAGCCTGGGCAATATAGAGGGACCTCGTCTCTACAGAAGATTTTAAAACTAGCCAGGTGTGGTGGTGCATGCTTGTAGTTCCAGCCCTTTGGGAGGCTGAGGTAGGGGGATTGCTTGAGACTAGGAATTCGAGTCTGCAGGGAACCATGATCACCAGTGCAGTGCAGGGCAGCCTGGGCAACAGAGTAAGGGCCTGCTTTAAAAAAAAGTTAAAGACAAGTTGGAAACAGTCTGCATGAGACTAGTTACCAAAGAAAATATGGGGGTAGGGGATGGCAGTGAGAGAGTGGGAGACTGTGGGACTCAACGAAAAACAAGATGCACATCTGTGTGTACCAAGGCCTGTTAAATGAGAAGAGCTCTTCACGGCATGTGGAGTCTCTCAGAAGCTCTTCACACAAGGATTGTGGCCAGCCAGGGCCGGGACTGGGGCCAGGGCTTGGCCTGGCTATGCCCAGCCTCAGGACCCTTCCACTGGACTGGTCCAGACCAAGCAGGGTTCAGGGTGTTTTCCTCTGGTCTTTTCTGTGCAGCAAGCTTCATCTCCCCAGAGAAGAGCCGGAAGATGTTGCCCACTCCCATTGGAACCAACAGTGGCACTTCCTTGCTTGGCCCCAGCTTGTTGGATGGAAACTCAAGGGACTCATTTGTGTCCAGGTCCCTGGCTGATGTCGCAGAGGTGAGTGCGTTGACCTCACACCTGCACTTAACGACCACCCCTCCTGCACACCTGCGGGTTAGTAAGAGCTATTTGCCAGGAGTAGAAGATCAGGAGACTGCGTGTGCACACTCGGATCTCTTGACTACTGAGGATGGAGACACCTGGGGATGCTGTGCCGGCTCCGGTCCCCACGTGCTTCGTGCAGACTCAGCCATAGCTGAGCTCTGCAGGCCTCTGAACTGGGAGCCCTGGTCTGGGGTGCAGAGCAGGGTCTCTGGAGGCAGCCAGAGCCGAGCTGGGATGTCACGTGCCCTTCCCGGGCTGTGAGGTGCTGTGGTTTGGGCTCCGTTGTGGAGAAGTAAGGGGTGGTCACAGCAGTTGTGTTGTTTACACTCCCACCCGAACAGCAGGGCCTTTGAGCAGCACCTCCCTGGGTCGCGTTGAGCTGCGGTGCATGGGGAGCTGGGATGGGCTCTGCTGTCCTCACGCTTCCCCTGTGCACAGGGTAGTGATAGGAGGAGTCACTGGGGCAGAATCTTGATGTGGAGGCGAAATGTGGTTTGTGACTCTCCTCTTTTGCCCAGACGCACTGTCACTCTTTTTGTTGGCCACGCCATCTGGTTGTAGCCCCCAAGGCATCCACCACTTGGTTTGCCAGGCGTTCGTGGGCAGGTTAGGCTTGCAGGGTGAAGACAGGCCCATTTCACTGACGCATGGTGCAGAGGGGCAGGTGCATGAGAGATCCGGGTGAGGGCTTTACAGACAGGGAGGGGACTCCAGTTCCAGGAGGTCACTCACGTGGGCTTGGCCTGTGTAAAAGTCCTGGAGCAGCATTCCCTCAATCTGGTCCCCACAGTGTTGCTCGGTGTTCCTTGAGGATTTTGTAGGCAGATACTTGAGGGAAACCCTTGATCCAGAAAAGCTCAAAACAGCTGTTTCTCACAGACACCTCTGCTTCTCAGTATCCGAATATGAATCGTGACTCTTGAGGTGGCGAGCTCATGGGAAGGCTTTGGAGAATTCCAAGCCAAGTCATGATATGACTGGAAATTTTAGCAAATAAATGCATAGACACGATTAATGGAGTAGACCTCCACTTCACATTGTGTGGGGCTTCTCAGATGTGTTTGGCTCAGAATCATCATTCAGAGCACACCCTGACTCTGAAGTTCTCCAGGAGGCCGGTCTCTGTCTCTTCCCGTGCTGGTGCGCGTGTTCCTAAGGTCCCGGCTCTGTGGAGATGGGCCCTGCCTACGTGTCCTGAGACAACATGCCAGGACCTCACGGTTGAAAGGACGGGTCACAGCCCAGTGACTGGAGCCCCTTGGAGTCAGAAATGCAGAGTGTCACCCTCACCCCAATGAGAATTTGCCATGTTAACAAAATCTTGGGCAACAGATGGCACATGGGAGTGAGTAGCAGAGAAAGGGTGCAGTTAGCATTTGTGAAACACTGTCCGTTGTGAGCACTGCAAACACGTGTTCACCTGCAGAAAGAGCAAGTCGGCGTTTAGCACAAGGGTTTCCCAAGAGCCCTACGCTCAGGATGTGAGTGTGTCTTTCAGCTGGTGCTTGTTGTCTGGAAGGACAGTCTGAGGCATTTGTGGATGAAAGGGTCTGGGGGTAGGGCTGGCATCAAGGAGGTGGGGGGTGGAGCTGGGTGGCCCTGGGATGCAAGAGGTGGGAGTTAGGCCAGGCGTGGTAGCTCACCCCTGTAATCCCAGCTCTTCAGGAGGCTGAGGCAGGCAGATCATGAGGTCACAAGTTTGAGACCAGCCTGACCAACGTGGTGAAACCCCGTCTCTACTAAAAATACAAAAATTAGCCAGGCATGGTGGTACACACATGTAATCTCAGCTATTCAGGAGGCTGAGGCAGGAGAATCACTTCAACCCAGGAGGCGGAAGGTTGCAGTGAACCAAGATTGTGCCACTGCACTCCAGCCTGGGCAATAGGGTGAGACTTCATCTAAAAAAAAAAAAAGAAAGGGGTGGGAGCTGGTGGTGGACACACAGGGGAAGGGGAAGAAGAGTTACTCTTTGTTCTGCTTTTGAAAACAAATTTTAATTTGTTTCCCATAAGAAAAGCATGCATTTCATTTATGCCCTAGCTCTACTGAGAATTTTCCAGACTTACTGCAGTCACAGTATCACACAGTTCATTAAGGAATATTTATGCAGGGCCTACTGTGTGCAAACAAAGGCCCCTGTCCTCATGAGGCTTCTGCTCTGGAGCAGCACGCAGACCATAAACAGTGAAAACAGCACATTCCACATATTTGCTCACAAGACTGAGTCCTGGTGCCGAGGGCCTCCCGTGCCCCATCCCTCCTCAGGCCCGTGCTGCCTCACCCACTGTGTCATGACCACCTTCTTGGTCCGGCTTCTCAGTCAAAGCCTCTTCCTGTCTCAGAGAAGGTGCCTGTTGCTTCTTTAAAAAGGAACGTGCTCTCCACGTATCCTCAGGACTGATGGGAACATGCCCCCACCACATGTCCTCGGGACTCTTTGACGGGATTGTGCCCCCCACCTGTCCTCATGTCTCTGACAGGAACGTGCCCCCCACGTGTCCTTGAGACTGATGGGAACGTGCTCCCCACCTGTCCTCGTGTCTCTGACAGGAACGTGCCCCCCACGTGTCCTTGAGACTGATGGGAACGTGCTCCCCACCTGTCCTCGTGTCTCTGACAGGAACGTGCCCCCCACGTGTCCTTGAGACTGATGGGAACGTGCCCCCCACCTGTCCTCGTGTCTCTGACAGGAACGTGCCCCCCACGTGTCCTTGAGACTGATGGGAACGTGCCCCCCACCTGTCCTCGTGTCTCTGACAGGAACGTGCCCCCCCCGTGTCCTTGAGACTGATGGGAACGTGCCCCCCACCTGTCCTCGTGTCTCTGACAGGAACGTGCCCCCCACGTGTCCTTGAGACTGATAGGAACGTGCTCCCCACCTGTCCTTGTGTCTCTGACAGGAACGTGCCCCCCACGTGTCCTTGAGACTGATGGGAACGTGCCCCCCACCTGTCCTCGTGTCTCTGACAGGAACGTGCCCCCCCACGTGTCCTTGAGACTGATGGGAACATGCCTCCCGCGTGTCCTCAGTTCTCACCTCACCTCCTGCTCAGGTCCCAGTCCTTGGAGCCCCCTCACTGGCCTCCTTCCCCTGCACACTCTCTCCTCATCACTCTTCTTCTGTCTCCAGAGGCTGCCCCCAGTCCCTGTGTTTGTTTCGTATTGTCTGCCTGCCTGTTGGGTGTCTTCCCCCTTAGGTCTCATGGCAGGAGAGAACTGGTACCCACATCCCAGCCATCAGATGTGCCCTGTACAGTAGGCTGTCTGCTAGTACTTACCTGAAAAGCGTGTGGGCAGACGATGGGTGATTCTGAGATTCTGCAGAGAGCCCTGTGCTGCTGTCCATGGCTAGGTTCCTGCAGTAGGAGTCAGTGGGAGCTTTTGTCCTGTGTAGGGAGCTGTCCTCCACTGAAGGCCCAGCAGATCACAGTGACCTTTTCTTCCTGCAGGTTGTGGATTCCCAGCTGGTGTGCATGATGAATGAGAACAGCATCGATTACATTTCTCGGTTCAACGACCTGGCCCAAGAGCTGTCCATCGCTGAGCCTGGCCGCCGAGAAGTTCTGTTTGATGGTGGTGGAGGCGGCCCCCCTGTCAGTGACTCGTCCCAGTGACCACACGTCCTGGTGGCAGACGAAGCCCTCTTCCAGCTAGAGAAAAACAGATCAAGCCCAGGAGCCCCAGAGGATGGTCTGAACAGAGGCATCTCCGCACCCATGACTGTGCAACAGGCAGGAATGTGGTCACAGAGCTGCTTCCCCACGAGCAGCAGGCAGTGGCGTCCCAGGAGACCAGGACGAGCTCTTGGGCAGGGCCGACGTTAGAAATGGCTGTGGTGCTGGAGCAGGTCTTCACCACGCCCGGGCCCACATTACGGTCTGCATAGTGATTCCGTTTCAGCCCAAGCTCTTCCTCGATTGTTGTGTTGGATGTAACCGTGGTGTTTCTTTCTGAGACAAGGGAGTGTGTGTGCCTTGGTATAGTTGCCTCGTGCTAGGAGCTGTGATCTACCACTGCAGGGAGGCCCCAGCTCCTGCTGCTTGATTTTTGCCAAACCTGTGCCATGCTTCATCTGTACCCTCTGTGGAATGTAACGGGCAGGACAGTTGGTTGTGGCCTAGGCTTGTGCCGCGTGGTGTCGCACCCTGAAGCTGCAAGCGCACAGATGCTGATCCCAGGGCTGCTGAGGAGTCCTGGGGCCCTGGGCTGGTGCCTCTTCTGTTTATAGGTTTTGTTTGATGTCTCTTAACAGGAAGTGGGGCAACAAGAGTCCTGTGCTATGCAGGTTATGTGGACTTTACATGGGACCCTGCTAAGCTGGTTGAAAATGTTTTTCTTGTGTTTTAAGGATTAGGAGACATGGAAGAGGAAGAACAAAGTCCCCTCTGTAGTTGGTTTCCTTCCTGTGTCCCTTTGTAAGCTTCCAGGTGACCCGAGGTGTCATTTGTTTCTACTAACGTGACCTCTAAGCACTAATAGGATTACCACAAAAACTTTCCCGATAAGTTCTGAAACTCGATCCGTGACTATTTGGCACTTAGGACAAGTCCACCTTTGCAGGGAAAGTGTCTTGTGGGCACGGGTGTGGGCATACCTGACGTGTGTTCAGTCCCTTTGTACCTTTGCCTTGAGACAGCTGTGTCTCCTTTCCATTTGGGACACCCACACAAGGGCCCAGACGTCTGGGTGTGGTCACACGTCACCAAATGTATGCCTTGGTGGTGGTTTTCCTCCTCGCACCCTTTCAGGTGGCCAGCATTCCTACTGCAGACTGCCTAACATCCAGTCTTTCCCAGGATGAAGCTAACAAGGGCCCTTTTGCCTTCTCAGCCTCAGGAGTTCCAAGCACATGAGTCACTGTCCAGCCACATCCAGTATGGCCTGGAGCTGCTAAGAGGTGCTGGGCAGGCCATGCCTCTGCTGCCATCGCTCCCTTCCTGCCTCATCCCCCACAGTAGCTGGGATTGATTGTGCTTTCCTAACCCACTTGGACCTACTCTTCCTCTCCCCTCACACATGTGGCATGTAAGGCCAGCCCTGGCCCCTCCCGTTTCTCTCCCCCTCCACAATGGAGACGGTGAAAAGAAGGGAAAGACCTTGGGTGTGGACAAGCAGGTGGACACTCTCCATCCTGCAGTCTCACCAGTCCACTGTCCACCACAGCCACTGTAGACCATTGGGAGGACGTGGAGAGGACAGTGGACTTCCAGGCAAGGGCATCCTTCTTGTGTCTTACGAGTTTTTCTTGGAGCTCTTGCCTGAGCTGGCTTCCCTCATTCAGACCTTAACATGAGATCTTAAGCAAACAGTCCCAGAGCTCTTGGATGTGGAAAAAAAAACTTGGTGCCCCTTGATTGGGAGAGACAGCAGTGTTTGAGCCGCAACATCTTTAAACATGCTTGTGTTTTTGTGCTTAATATATCAGCTTCTGAAATTAGCATCTCATGGAGCCAGAGAAAGAGAAGTAGATCTCCCTCTGGGCATCTGACTTTGCTGTGTCAGGGTTAGGCTACCAGGCCGAGTTTAGACCACTGCAAGCTTTCTCATACTCCCATGGGCTAGACCAGAGATGCCAAGTCGTAACAGCATTGAGCTGCATGCGCTGTGCCAGGGACAGCAGGGTTCATAACTTGCCTGTCAGGGCACCTGTTACTCCCAAGTGCGGTGGAGCTTTGAGGTCGGGGTCTGCATGCGCTGTGCCAGGGACGGCAGAGTTCATAACTTGCGTGTCAGGGGCACCTGTTACTCCCAAGTGCGGTGGAGCTTTGAGGTCGGGGTCTGCCTTTGTAGACTCTTTAGACAGTATCTATCACTTGGTTCTGCAGGGTGGAGCCACGCAATGACTGTAGCCACTGCCACCCAGTGGGTAGGTAGATGGGTCAGGGAGGACTCGTCTCCTGTAATCAAGCTGACAGGGTTTTAGAGGATTCTGCTTCTCTAGTAACCGGACAGGTGGTAACGCATTTGCTTGCCACGTGAAGGGGAAATGGTGTCATTTGTTGGAGAAAAACAATGGCTGCATTTTCTCCTCCCTTCCACGAACACTGATGTACAGAAAGAGGCGACTGTTCAAGGCTGGAGTTTTTGAAAGATCCAAACAGAGAAGCCTTCCACTTCCTGTACGTTCTGCCTTTCTAAAGGAAGCGGCGATCGGCTCGGCATGAGCCTGTGGCTTCCTTTGTGCATTCGAGCATGCTGTAATTAAGATGAGATCAGCTTTTAGAAAAAGCTTTCCCAAACTCTTAGGTTGTCTGATCCACCTTTCCTGGAGACTGGGGCAGAGTGTCTGTGGTGCAGGGAAGTCGGTCCTCTGGCCTCGGCTCTGCTGTGGATGTGCAGTGATGCGCGAGAACTGCGGTGCCTGCAAGGACACCGAGTTCATGGCTTCCGGGCTGTTTGGTCCTTCTGTGGCTTGTAGCCCGAGGGTGCCAGTTCAGGGAGTGGGGTCTTGGCAGCGTTTCCACAGTTGGTCTTGCTTTGCTCCCACCTCCGGGTGCTAGGCATCAGGGCCGTGACCTCATTTCTGTGATGGCCCTTTTGAATAGCATCTTTTGTTTTTTTGTTTTTTGTTTTTTTGAGACAGTCTCACTCTGACCAGGCTGGAGTGCAGTGGTGCTATCTCAGCTCACTGCAATCTCTGGCTCCTGTCTTCAAGCGATTCTCCTGCCTCAGCCTCCCAAGTAGCTGGGACTACGGGCATGCACCACCACACCGTCTAATTGTTTGCATTTTTAGTAGAGACAGGCTTTCAACATGTTGGCCAGGATGGTCTCAGTCTCCTGACGTTGTGAGCCGCCTGCCTCGGCCTCCCAGAGTGCTGGGATTACAGGCATGAGCCACCACACCGGCCAGTCTGATAGCATCTTTAATCAGATCACAGCATTGAATTCAAACTCTGCCAAGAAAGTCGGGGGGCATAAGGCCCCGAAGCGACAGAGGAGGACCTTGGGCTCGAGCAGATGCATTTGTCAGGAAATACGGCACTTTGTCTTAAGAAAACAAGGAAAGAAACCTGCAGCACACCCTTTGCGGCCGTCAGCGCTCTGCTGATGTCACAGTGGCCGCGCGTCCTTGGGGTGGGTGAGGTGTGGGGAGTCGAGCCCCTGGCCCTGCCTCCTGCGCCCCGCACTCCTCTCCCTTCTCAGTTAAGCCATAGCGAGGCCTCTGCTCGTTTCAGATGTGAATTTGTTTTATAGATTATAAATATGCATATACAGTGTATGTATAAAGCAGAATGCCTGCCTTTCCTGGTTATTTTTTGTACCATATTGTAAATTATATTATTTATTCTTTACCAATTTTGGGAATAAAAGGTGTTTTGGTTATTTAATATAATAAACAAGAGCTGTTAAACTTCTGTTTAAATTTCCAGTTCAACTTGTAAATGTTTTTATTGTGCATAAATACATACTAATGTTGATCTAAGGAGTGTGCTTTGTGCCTGTTCTTCAGGGCCACACGCACCTGGGGACCACGCTTGGGCGTGCAGGTGCCGCCCAAGTGCGGCCCCAGTGGTGGGCGCGCTCCCTTCTGCAGGCCGGGTTTCCTCCCGAGGGCGTGGCCGCCCCACAGTCCGCCCAGCCCGCCGCCCAATGAGAGCTTTCACTCCTCGAGCGGCGTCGCCTTCCGCCAATCGGCTGCGGGCGCAGTGCCGGCTGTTTAAAGTCTAACTCGTTGGGGGTGGGCATGAGGGGCGGGGACCGTGCCGCGATAGGCTGCGGAGGAAAGATTGGCGTCTTGGAGACCAATGGGCGCTGGCGGGCGGCTTGGTACCTGCGCCCGGCGGGCGGGAACGGCGCGCGGCGAGCCGAGGGTGGCGGCGGGCGACATGTTCCAGGGCCCGGAAAGCGAGGGCGGCCGCGCGGGCTCCAGGTGTGGCGCGGGGGACGCGGGAGGCGGGAGAAGGGGAGCGGGAGGAGGGGGGCGGGGGGCAGGGAGCGCGGCCAGGTGGCAGGGACGGGTGGGCCCTGGGCGTCCGCGAGCCGCGTGGGGTTGGGGGAACGGTAGGGAGACCTCACAGAGGCCCCTAGGGCCGCCACTCTCCTCGTTGCCCCGCCGCCCGACCGAGGCCCGGAGCCCGAGGGGCGGCTCGCCGAAGCCCGGGCTGTGGGGAGCTTCCCGTGGCCGAGGCCGAGGGCGGGGAAGGGCTCTCGGGTTCTGGGAACAAAGCTGTGTGGAGGGCGGGCTACGCTCCCGCGCGTCTGGGCGCCCGCGTTCCGTGCGGTGCGTAGGGGGATTCTTGGGGGCGGTTGCCCGGGGGACGGGTGTGCCCGTGGGTGTGGCCCAATCTGTTTGTGGGGTGCGTGTCCGTGTTCTGGGGGGTGTGTCCCTCAGGGGTGTCCGGCGCTGTTTGTGGGGTGTGTCTGGCCGTGCTCCCCTCGTGTGTGTGGCTGTGTGACGTGCCTGTGTCCCCTGCCCGTGTCCCTGCTGCGTGCGTGGCCGTGTGCCCTGCCCGTGTCCCTGCTGCGTGTGTGGCCGTGTCCCCTGCCCGTGTTCCTCCTGCGTGTGTGGCCGTGTGCCCTGCCCGTGTTCCTCCTGCGTGTGTGGCCGTGTGCCCTGCCCGTGTTCCTCCTGCGTGTGTGGCCGTGTCCCCTGCCCGTGTGCCTGCTGCGTGCGTGGCCGTGTGCCCTGCCCGTGTTCCTCCTGCGTGTGTGGCCGTGTGCCCTGCCCGTGTTCCTCCTGCGTGTGTGGCCGTGTCCCCTGCCCGTGTCCCTGCTGCGTGTGTGGCCGTGTGCCCTGCCCGTGTCCCTGCTGCGTGTGTGGCCGTGTCCCCTGCCCGTGTTCCTCCTGCGTGTGTGGCCGTGTGCCCTGCCCGTGTTCCTCCTGCGTGTGTGGCCGTGTCCCCTGCCCGTGTTCCTCCTGCGTGTGTGGCCGTGTCCCCTGCCCGTGTCCCTGCTGCGTGTGTGGCCGTGTCCCCTGCCCGTGTTCCTCCTGCGTGTGTGGCCGTGTCCCCTGCCCGTGTGCCTGCTGCGTGCGTGGCCGTGTGCCCTGCCCGTGTTCCTCCTGCGTGCGTGGCCGTGTGCCCTGCCCGTGTTCCTCCTGCGTGTGTGGCCGTGTGCCCTGCCCGTGTTCCTCCTGCGTGTGTGGCCGTGTGCCCTGCCCGTGTTCCTCCTGCGTGTGTGGCCGTGTGCCCTGCCCGTGTTCCTCCTGCGTGTGTGGCCGTGTCCCCTGCCCGTGTCCCTGCTGCGTGTGTGGCCGTGTGCCCTGCCCGTGTCCCTGCTGCGTGCGTGGCCGTGTGCCCTGCCCGTGTTCCTCCTGCGTGTGTGGCCGTGTCCCCTGCCCGTGTTCCTCCTGCGTGTGTGGCCGTGTCCCCTGCCCGTGTTCCTGCTGCGTGTGTGGCCGTGTGCCCTGCCCGTGTTCCTCCTGCGTGTGTGGCCGTGTGCCCTGCCCGTGTTCCTCCTGCGTGTGTGGCCGTGTCCCCTGCCCGTGTCCCTGCTGCGTGTGTGGCCGTGTGCCCTGCCCGTGTCCCTGCTGCGTGTGTGGCCGTGTCCCCTGCCCGTGTTCCTCCTGCGTGTGTGGCCGTGTGCCCTGCCCGTGTTCCTCCTGCGTGTGTGGCCGTGTCCCCTGCCCGTGTTCCTCCTGCGTGTGTGGCCGTGTCCCCTGCCCGTGTCCCTGCTGCGTGTGTGGCCGTGTCCCCTGCCCGTGTTCCTCCTGCGTGTGTGGCCGTGTCCCCTGCCCGTGTGCCTGCTGCGTGCGTGGCCGTGTGCCCTGCCCGTGTCCCTCCTGCGTGTGTGGCCGTGTGCCCTGCCCGTGTCCCTCCTGCGTGTGTGGCCGTGTGCCCTGCCCGTGTCCCTCCTGCGTGTGTGGCTGTGTGCCCTGCCCGTGTCCCTCCTGCGTGTGTGGCTGTGTGCCCTGCCCGTGTCCCTCCTGCGTGTGTGGCTGTGTGCCCTGCCCGTGTCCCTCCTGCGTGTGTGGCTGTGTGCCCTGCCCGTGTCCGTCCTGCCTGTGGCCGCGCTTCTACCAGTTCCTGTGAGTCCACTTCCTCCTTTGGGAAATGCCAGGCCGTCTCGGGTAGAGCCAGTTATCTCCTTTGGTTTAAAACAGTCTGGGGAGGTCGATGGCGCTCCTGGGTTTCACTGAAGGAAGAAGCGGATTGGAACGAGGATCCCCTCACTCAGGTTTAATGGCCAGGGATGCCACTTTCCTTGTGTTTTTGAACTTGTAAAGCACTTTCGGTATTGGGACTCACATAAATTAGAGTGACAGAGCTGACAAGGTCTTTTATGCCACTTGAGCTTGTGTTGTGAAGTTTGGGTCTCCTGATGCCCGAGGTGTTCTGTGTGACGAGCCCCTCTGTTGAAATAGTTGCTCGGTGCCACAAAGAAAAACCAGCACTGACACAAAGGATCCTTCAGCAACGCAGTTTTACTTCCTGGACTGCAGGAAGGGGACCCGCACTGGCCATCTTGCCACGAGAGTACAGTGAACAAAAGAAAACACACATTTATCCCTTGTGCTTTTGGGGTCGTCCTTTCTGCTGTGTCTGATCTCCGTTGGCTGGAGCCAGACCTCACAATCTAAACTGAAACTCGAAATTGGCTAACAACTTAACACTTTTCTAAACAGATAAAAGCAGTGGAGAGCTGGGACAGGCCTGTGAGCACGTCCAGTACAGATGTCCTGGTTAAAATACAAGGACACAGGATGCGCTACGTGCTTGTAAGCATGGCTGTCTAACAGCTGCATAGGACAGGGTTTAAAGAAGCTCTTAGCACACTTACTCTTAAATAAGAAAGGAAACTTTAAAAAGAGCTTTTCTACTTCCCATATGCTCTGTGGCACAGCCTCACCGGAGAAGCAGAAGAGAATGTGTGTGCCGTCACTGTTAAGATAAATACTATATCAACTAAATTCTAAAGAAAAGAATTGCTCCAACTTGCTAAAAACCCTTTAAATTGGTCGGGTACGGTGGCTCACTTCTGTAATCCCAGCACTTCGGGAGGTCAAGTGGGGTGGATCACCTGAGGTCAGGAGTTCGAGACCAGCCTGGCTATCATGATGAAACCCCGTCTTTACTAAAAATAGAAAAATTAGCCACGCATGGTCATGGTGGTGTGAGCCTGTAGTCCCAGCTACTTGGGGAGGCTGAGGCAGGAGAGTCACTTGAACCAGGATGCAGAAGTTGCAGTGAGCTGAGATTGCGCCACTGCACTCCAGCCTGGATGACAGAGCATGACTTCATCTCAGGAAAAAGAATATTAGATATAGGGGGTTAGGTCAGCATTCAGTGATACTCCTAGCCATATAACTAGCCCTTAATTCATGGAACAGTGATTAGTACTCACGCCGGGGTTTACCCTGAGGTGCAACTGGACTGAAGAGAGTGAACCTGGTTTCTGCTTCAGGATGGCCGGGGTGCTGCGTCACCTACCCAGCGGCAGCGTGAGGGCTGCATCCCCAGCCCTGTGCCAGCTGTGTGTGTTCACTACCTTTCCTTTTTGTTTGGGCCTCCTGGCACTGGCTGCCCCTTAAATGGTGGTGTTTATAAACACCTGGAGTGACACCAGTTCTTTTGTTTGTTTGTTGTTGTTGTTGTTTAGACAGAGTCTTGCTCTGTCACCCAGGCTGGAGTTCAGTGGCGCCATCTCAGCTCACTTCAACCTCCGCCTCCCGAGTTCAAGCGATTCTCCTGCCTCAGCCTCCCGAGTAGCTGGGACTACAGGCACGCGCCACCACGCCCGGCTAATTTTTGTATTTTTAGTAGAGACGAGGTTTCACCTTGTTGGCTGGGATGGTCTCCATCTCTTGACCTCCTGATCCACCTGCCTCGGCCTCCCAAGGTACTGAGATCACTGGTGTGAGCTGCCATGCCTGGCCAACACCAATGATTTTATGTTAACTTCCGTGCTCCAGAAGGTAGCTGCAGAGGTGCGTGCCGAAGTCATATCCCAAACTGCTTTAGGTGGTTTGTTTCTGGACAGGTTGTTGTGTAAAGGAGAAAGTCTTCCTTTTAGGATGGTCAAGCGCTGGTCTGAACTGGGTGGTGAGGTTCACCCAGTGCAGACCAGTGCCTGAGGAAGCTTCTGCTTGAGGTCCACTGGAAGCTGCACATTTGCCGCTCATCTGACGATGCTTGAGTCACAGGGCAGGTGCCTTGTAAGAGCCACAGTTTGTTTTGCTGTGAAGAGAATCAAGTGGTGGCTGTAAGATTGCCCAGCCAGGTTTTCCTCTTTATTTATTTATTTATTTTTTTTTGAGACGGAGTTCTGCTCTTGTTACCCAGGCTGGAGTGCAATGGCGCGATCTCGGCTCACCATAACCTCCACCTCCTGGGCTCAGGCAATTCTCCTGCCTCAGCCTCCCAAGTAGCTGGGATTACAGGCACGCGCCACCAAGCCCAGCTAATTTTTTGTATTTTTAGTAGAGACGGGGTTTCACCATGTTGACCAGGATAGTCTCGATCTCTTGACCTCGTGATCCACCTG